TTTATAGCTACCAAAAATGGTTAAAAAGAAAAACGTGTCCTCCCACACCACGAAAGAAACCATAGCCAAATGCAAAAAAGAATCCTTTGACGACGGTAATAAAGAAGAAAGAAGAGAGAGCTCTTGTTTTGCTGGGTGAAGCAAGTACATGACTTAACCTAAATGGAAAAAAAAATGGCAATCATGGCCGTTCAAAGACAAAAGACTGTCATTTTCAGAAACAGAATTTGATGTAAAATTTTAATGATTCTTTACTTCACACGTAGTCTTGGAGATAAGGGAGCTATCCTCGTTTCCTAGATTTGGACAGTTAATTTTTGGTCCTACCAAACTGAAATACTGGTCAACATGACCCACTTTCTTTTGACCTACCTTCTTTGGTCATTGATGCCATCATTAATTTGTATAAAATCATATTCTAGTTGTAAATATTGATGTAATTTACTAAAAATGGTTAATTAAGGAGTAGTGATTAGCATTGATCAAAATGTTTATTTTGTAAATCTTATTCAACATCATTTTCATAGCGTCATTCTCATAATTGTAATTACGTATCGATATTTAAATTTCTATTTTATTTTTAATAAGATTTGAATTTAAAAATTTCTAGTAAAAATTCCAAATTTAAATGTCAATATCCCTTCTTGGGAATATTAGTTAAGATGAATTAGTCTACTTAATTAAACCAAAAAATTTCAACAATATTAATACTACTAAATTGTTTAGTTTGTAAATAATTGGTATGTTCCAATAATCACACGAGAGAAGAGGAATTGTCGGATGAAATACAAGGTGACGTAAAATATCATGTCTAAATTTTGAAATTTGTATAAATTTGGAGTGGTTTTTAGGATTTTTTTGTTCCTTCCGATTTTTAAAATCCATCCATGCATGGTCAGGATGGAGGGTTTGAACTTAAAACCAAAATTCAAGTCTTCTTTACTCTGACCTTACCTTCAAGAAAGTATCAGGTCAAGCTGCTTGTGGGATGCATAGTTATCCATCATAAGCTGTGAACTTTTTATTTTTTATTTTCCAAAGGGATACCCCAAGTCCAAATCCAGATTAATCTCTTGTTGTCGTTGTTCGATTGGACACATAAATGGATACAATTATTCTAAAAAAATTTATATGTATAAAAACTTAAAATCAATACTACTTACTTAAACGATTAGAATTTTTTTTGTTCAAGTCAATTTTTTTTTGTTCATAAGTTGTAAACCTTGGTAAGTGTAAATGAACCCAAAAAATCTAGTGTTTTCTTAATTTCCATTTTCAAGAAGTGAGATCGTCTTTAGAAGAGGCGTAAGCGGAAGGGAACCCTAAAAAAACTTGCCAATAAGAATGGCCATATTGGCTTGCAAGATTGGTCCAATCCGAAAGGCATCTGAAGAAATTTGACTCCTCCCTATGCATGACACTTCACCAACCATGGCAGAAAAGATGACATCCTGTGGCTGAAGGAGCAAAGGTTGTCCTAGCTAGTAATAGATCACAAAGACATTGACATATCATGAACGTATTGTGTGGACATAAAGTTGGACTTATAATTCAATGGACAAAGACTGAAAGCTATACATCATACTAAATTAGAAACCAAGATGGAGAATGAGATGACTTTGTTTAAAAATAATGGGTATGATTGACTATTAATGTGAAACTTGCTTTGCTTCTTGATTTAACTTGACAAGCTGCCTTTTCTTTTGTTCATATTGGCAAACTTCCTTTGAGAATCTTTACTACTTTTTTTTTTTTTTTTTATGAAATAAATTATAAACTGGTTCCTTTAGTTTTGAGACATGAATTAATTAGTCCCTCTAGTCTCAAAAGGTAATTTATAAGTCTCTATGTTTTTAAATTATCTTGTAAGTACTCAATCTTTCTCATTATTTTTGAATTTTTATTTTTTATTTTAAGAGATAGAAAAAAATAAGTGAAAATATGATATTTTTTTAAAAATAAAGTAATACTAAATTAAGCATGTTCAATACTAGTTAAATGATTAAATAATTAGTTTTTAAACAAGATAACTAATTAATTCATTTCTTAAAAATCGAGGACCTAATTTATAATTTACTCTTTTTGATGGGTTAGTGAAGATTTTGATCCTTCTACTCTCAAGTTTGTCTTACTTTGATTCCCTCAATGTTTTCTCTTTAATGTCATCCTTGTACTCTCTGTTTTAAATGATATAACCCTTTCATCAATTGCGCCGTAAATAACCATTTATGTTAGTGGTAGATCATACTATTACTAGCTCCAAAATCTTTTTTTCTTTTTTTAATTTGTTATTTTAGTTCCACTCTTCTTTTTATCATGTACTAGTTTAATTTGTAATATATATAATCAATCATTGGTAACACTTTGTTCAAGATCATTTAAAAATATTGCAATAAGCTATGAAAAACGAATCAAACAAGAAAAATAAAGTAGAAAGACAAAAGCAATCACACAATACAAAAATTTATATGGTTCGGTAATAATATCTACTCCACGGTTGCACTAAGAATTTTTATTAATATTTTATCAAAAAACGACCATAAATATAAAAAATATTATTATTTATAGTGTGGATAACTAGAGTTATAATAATAAAAAAAAAACCTTATGAATCTATACAACTGGCTCAAGATTTTTATTATCGAAACCGCTATATTAACTCTACATAACATATTAAATTATAGATCATGTCTATATTAGTCTCCAGAACTTAACATAAGCATGATGAATTGATTAAACAAGTCTTCTGAACGAGATCTAAGTATGCAAGGATCTTCTGTCCCAAAAGCAAGATATTTATGTCCATCTCTTCACATGGCTTATAAATAATCGAAAGGAAGTACTTGAGTTTTTCAAAAAAATTTCTTCTGAAACCTTGATTTTACGTTTTGAACTGTGTAAACAGCTGAATCCATTGCCATTATTCTAATAGATAGGGCAAATTTACAGACTTAATGTCATCTAAATCAACCGAACAAATCAACTCCGATCCTCTTTTTCTTGATTCTCTAGTCGGAGAGGAATTACACTAAACATAATTAGTACGTAGTAGAAGTTTCATATACGCATCACAGAAAAAGATTTTATCCAGCTATTTTTTTTCACTAAAAAATATTTAGTACTTTCTGATAACTATCATGCTCAATAGTAACCAAAAATAAATAAAGGATTAACACCCTCACCTGTTTTTATATAATATTTAAAATTTTTAATCTGCTCCTAAAAATCTTTTTAATCTATCTTCATATTTTGAGTTGGTTTTTAATCTATCTTTTTAGTTTAAATTTCTGTAAAATTAAACGTGTCATTTGATAAAATTATCTTTATTATTTGACACAAGTGATCTATCTCTATTAATAAGAATATTAATTTATGAAAATCAATCAGAAATTTTGACAAGAAAAATAAATTACAAACCAACTTAAAATATACAGATTGTAAACTATCTTTTTTAGGAACAAATTAAAAAAATTGATTTATTATATAAGGCATGTAGTAACTCAAAAATATATGAATTGTATAACGAGAACTAATTCATAAAAAAAAGGCACTACAACCTTTTCATTTTAGGGTGCATGAACATCTAAAATAGTGGCATTTTGCATTTTTATCGGTCTCTTCCATATACATGCACAGACAAATCTTTCGTTAGACTTCATGGCAGCACTTTATTTTTTTGAAGCCAACAATACTAGGAAATTGTACATGCACCCTAATCCACACAAAAGTAAAGATCAAACGATAAATTTTTTAATTTTATGCGGAATAGAGAAGATTTTCAATTTTATTTGAAATGTGTTAGAAAATAGTATAAAATTATTCTTAAAATCTCATTTAATAATTTAAATTGTTAAATTGATTTTTTTTTTTGATAAAAATGGAAATAAGCAACTTGCCAAGTTAAATGCAACAGCCAAAATTGAAAACGATTGAATAGTAGCTACTTCATGTATTTTATCTTTTGTATATATGCATTATAAGAAAACTGTCTTTCCGACAAAAATAACGACGAAATTACTTCTATTAATAATTCCTAAGAGAATTACCAATGGAAATTCTTTTTTTAAAATTTTTAAAATCATTTCCATCGATCAGTAATTCCATAGGTAATTATGGAATAATTATCTAAAGATTTACCAATAGAAATTCAATTATCTTTTTTTGAATTATTCAAAATAATTTAATTTACCTTTTAAAAAACTATATGCATAGTTTTAGTTAGTAATTCTATAGGTAAATTAAATCCTTCCAAAAATTTTCAAAAAAATTGGTTCCTTCTTTTCCAAAATTTTTTCTTTCCTCTTTCGAATTTTCTCCATTTATCTCTTTCTCATTTCCAAAAATGTTTTCCCTCTCACATATTAATTACTCTCATTTCCTCCCATATCCTCTCTTCCTTTCCTTTCTCCTCCCTTCGATTTTTGATAGGTGATCGACTGTTTTCTAGTATTGATGTCAACTTGTCTTCTTTCTTCTTATCTTTTGAATGCTACCTTAAACTTGTCATGTTTCTGTCTCTTCTTGTCTCTTGAACTACAATAACTAAAAACTTAGATATAGAAAGTACCATTTATTAAAAACTTATTCTTAATTTCTTAAAGTCAAAGTTTTATGATTAGTATTCGACAGCATTTATTTCCTTGAATCTATCAAATTAAAAATTCGTTCGAAAAACAGATAATTTAATTTAAAAAGACCTCTTAAATTTGATAGCAAGTCGAAGATATTTTGCTATATATATATATATGAAAAGAAATTGCAAAGTAAATGTAAAACAGAGAAAGTTCCCAAACGAAGATGGGGAGGATGCAATGAACTAGCAATTCAAGTAATTCATGGTTTCCTCTTCTCATTAAGAAGTCATCGAGTGAACAACAAATAGACAGTCTGAACAATGACAGCCGTGCAGATTCTATTTCCACTCTTGCTAAGTTGATGGGACTAAATAAAGCCGATAGACACCCAATTCCGGCAAGAGGAGGGAAAGAAAAGGAAAAAAGATGGCAATGCATATCCGTAAGGCACAAGAGGGTGGAAGGCCTACGATACCTAAGCTCATTGGTTAGGTACATGCATCCAACCACACTGGATACAGCCCTCTTAGGGCAAACCTCAAAATTGCAAACCCAAATATATAGATTGTCTGAAATTTGCCCTTAAACACCCATTGTTTGTATCCATTTTGTCTCTTAAAAGCTTCAGGTCAACCAGAAAAAAGTCCTTAATCCTTTTTTTTTTCATTCAGGTCCCCAATATTTTTTTTTCTATTTGTAGTTATGTCTTTTTATCTTATTGGTCAATTTCAAATCATACTGAAAGACACATAAAGTCATAAAACAACGATATTATTTTATGTTTGGGACTTTTAAAACATAAATCATTATTTTGATGATTTTTTGTGTATTTTATGTTGTTTAAAATTGATCAACATAATAGAAAACTTATTGCAATTCAAAAAAAGAAAAAAAACTTAATTTGGGGCCGAATTAAAAAAAAGATATGAGTTTTTTTCCTTTTAACTAATAATTCAGGATATTTTATAATCAATTAGCAATTAAAAAATTATAAATTAAGTCTTTTTTTCATATTTAATTATAGATTTATCTAAATTGTACTTTATATATATATATATATATATATATGAAATGATGTCGCTTTCAGAACTTAACATTTTCAATTAAAAATTTTTAATAGAAAGCTGAAATAGAGAAATAAAAATTGTTTGGGGATAAGATCTATACTTAACCAATAAATGGAGGACATTTTTTTTGAGGTTTTCCCTTCTTCTTGTGTAGAGAAGCCATATAAATGCGCTACTTCCCTCCTCGTTTACAGAATCCTAACCTTTCACAACAAGAACTATCAAATACAGATGGAGGGAATTGAGGACTTTGATCAGGCAGCAGCAGGAGATCATTCAGAAGTAGCTGAAAGTTTTGCCTGTCTAGATGACGATCAACAGCAGCAGCAGCTTCAACAAATTCCGAGGAGGAAGAAGAAGAAGGGCGGCAAGAATACAACAACTAAGAGGTTCAGTGATGAACAGGTGAGGTCACTAGAGTCAATGTTTGAGTCAGAGACAAAGCTGGAGTCAAGAAAGAAGATGCAACTAGCAAGAGAACTTGGGCTGCAACCCCGTCAGGTTGCTATATGGTTTCAGAACAGAAGAGCTAGATGGAAGACAAAGCAGATTGAGCAAGAGTACAAGACTTTGAAAGCTAATTATGACAACTTAGCTTCAAGTTACGAGTCCTTGAAGAACGAAAGAGAGTCCTTAGTCTCACAGGTACACAACCTTTTCTTCAGAAAACTATATTTCCATTCTCCTTCTCGAAAACCATTTTAACTCCCTTCTTTATTTCCTTCAACAGTTGCAGAAGCTGAGTGATCTGCTTGGCCACCCTTACGTATGCGACGGAGGCCTTGCTTCAGTACTTCACGAGGGAAACCCCAAGTTGGAGGCTGAAACACAGCAAGGACTAGACAACACTGTAATCCCCAACATGTGTGAGGATAAGAGCAGGGAAAATGGGGATGAAGGGCAAGGATTTCTCAACAGGGGATCATCCGAATACAGTGATGAGACATTAGCGTCAGTCTATGAGAAGTTGTACAGTTCTGATTCAGGGGGCCAGTTGGATCTATCATGGAGCAGTGCACATTGGTTTAATTTCTGGACTTGAAAAGCTACCTGAATAGTTCACACGGAGGGTACCAAAATTATTGGATGTCTGTTCATGAACAGTTTAATTTCTTAGCTCAGCAGGGCAAGTTGCAATTTGCAATTTGCATGTCAATGTCAATGGCAATCAAGCATAAATCCAAATGTAGGGTTTGATTGAAATCTTGCAAGGATTTCACCATTAAATTCATGTAGGGCAGCTTCTTCATACACAACTTAGAAATACAAGTTTAGAGACCTCGAGAGGGAATAAGACTTATGTATGTCTACCTTCTAGGGTATGTGTGTTCTTCCCATTTTTTTTCTTCTTCATGAGCATGTAATTAAATTAGCAGTCTAAATATTCTACTATTTGATCAATACATTAATTAATAATTACTTGTAAAACCTTTGTTCATGGAGTGGCAAGATTTATCCACAAAAAATGTATGATCTAATCAATACTAACTAAGGATGAACAATAGTTGATTAGATCAAGAAGATAAATTTAGTTTTGATACGGATAAATTGGTATAAAAATATTATCGGTTGGATCATAACACACAAAATAAGAAAAAAATGGGATTTGAAACAATTAAGCAATCCATTTATGGATGCTTAACCAAGTGAAAATGAAAAGAACCGTATTTTTCTCTCATGATTTCCTCTATAGATATGTTTAGAGATGATATGAATAACACTTTATTTCCAGTCATATCAAGAATTAATAACCGAATTTCTAGGCAGCTGAGATTCAGACTTAATACTATATATATATATATAATAGGAAAATCTAAACACAAATGACAGTTTGGCCGAGTGGTCTAAGGCGCCAGATTTAGGCTCTGGTCCGAAAGGGCGTGGGTTCAAATCCCACAGCTGTCAATTTGAGTTTTATTTTTTGTCCATTTTTTTGGCTCCTGGTATTGTTTTTTGTTTGATATGGTCCCTATACTATTTTCTTTATTTAAGTCCACCCTTGTATGCCACAATTGTTAAGATGTAAAACTGTTCAAACTGCAGATATACATTTAAGGAAACTCAAAACCATTGGCTTCGTTCTTTTCTTCCCAACAACCGCCGATGTAATGAAATAGTAAATTTTGGACCAAAGTGAATGCCGTGTCCTAAATAGTTTCCACCCCCAATCCGTATTCTATATTAGTACCTGTTTTATGTCGACATAAGCACAGCATGATGTTTTGACAGGTCCACGCAACAACAAGTTATTAGGTAAATTTAGTTTATTATATTATTTATTGACTAAGTCAACAAAAAGAAAATATATAAAAAGTGTTCATCATCTAATGATGCATGCATTTAACATGATTTTGTATGGGTTTAATGACAAAATAATTTGATAATTTCATGTCTTTATTATTAATTTGTATAATTTAAACTCTAAAATATTATTTAAATCCTAAAATATTGGTTTTTAAGAAGATTTTATCCAAATCGTATTTTTTTCGTTATTTACAATGATCAACCCCATTGACTTGTTAATTTTTTTCATTGTTAATTTACAAAAAATATAAAAATATATATATTTTTTATTTTTCAAGAGAGATTCTTTATATTTAAAATTTTCACATATTAATTCTTATAATTTTTCATAGTCAATCAAATTGTTATATATATATATATATATATTAGTTTTAAAAAATAACTTTTATATAGTATCATTATCTATTAAAACAATTAACTTTTATAATTAATAAAAAAATTTATTAATTGAATTTGATCAATTAAAATTATCAAATGATTAATTTTAATTGAAAGTTTTCTTTTGTCATGGTAATAATTTATTCTTGTGATTGTTAATCATTAAATTTCAAATATAACCCTATTTATTTATTTATCTTCACATGTTTTATAAGATTTTGTATTCTCACAATTGATTCAAATATATAATATGCATTTAAAATTTTTAGAGTTAGAAAACGATTTTTTAAAAAATTTAATATTTTATTTTATTTTTAACTTTTTTAAAGATAGGTTCAAAAAGTGAAAGATTTTTTTAGAGAGAACAAAAATAATAATAATAATAAATTTTAGTGATAAATTTAATGAACTTTTTTTTTTAATTTATAGGTAAACTTGTGAAAAAAGAATCTCTGTTGAAAAATGAAAGAATAAAATTTTTAAAGATTTTTTTTACAAAAAAAATTAACAGTAGAAGAAAAATAGTTGATGATTACAAATAATTGAGATAAAATTTGCTCAAAAATCAATGTTTTTTTTATTCAAATTATGCATATTGATGATAGAAACCTAAAATTACCATTTTTTATGTGTCCTGCTTTTATTAGTCTACTCTATAAATGATAAAGTAGACTAAATTTATCTAATCATTTAAAAAATTGAGCTAATGCATGAGCATATATCCTTTTTTTTTTTTGGAGAGTTAAAAACTCTCCTATCAAACCGACTTTTTCTATTAACCTTTTTAAGGATACTGCCTTAGAATTGACTTCCTTTTCACTTAATAAATTGTCTATTATATATAATATTTTTAGTAGTTTTCCTTTGAATTGATATATATAGTCCACACAGAATTGAGTAAATTAAAAGTTAGTCTCTTTAATTTTTTAAAAAATTAAATAGTCCCTATAGTTTTAATAACTAACTAGCTAGTTTCTATATTTTTAAATCTATTCCCTTCTGTTTTTTAATTTATTTTGTTTTTAATAAATAAAAAAATAAGTAAAAATATTAATAAAAAAGATATTTTTTAAACAAAATAATATTAAATTAATTATGATCAACACTTGTAAAAAAAAGATTAATTAATATATAAACTAATAAGGGCTATCCATTTAATTTTAAAAAACTAGAGTGACTAATTTATACTTTACTCCACATAATATCCACAAAAAAAGCTCAACATAAAATCTCGACCACTAAAAAGCAAGCAGTACTACATAACTAACTACCAACCAGCTCAGCCCTTTCAACTGTTTTTCCCTCTGCTCTTCTTGCTTCTGCACTCTGCAAGAAAGCAGAGCAACATGGCATTCTCAATTTGCACGCCAACACCTTATTTCAGCTGTTTTAACTCTTCAAACCAATCTTCCCTTCCATCTTTACCTTTCAAGCCACTCAAATTCCCTCCATTCTGGCCTTGGCAGAAGGTGAAGATGGGTCCCCTCACCGTGTCTCCAATGGGGTTTGGAACGTGGGCTTGGGGCAACCAACTTCTATGGGGGTACCAAGAATCAATGGACACTGATCTTCAACAAACTTTCAACTTGGCTGTTGAGAATGGCATCAATCTTTTCGACACTGCTGATTCTTATGGGACTGGCAGGTTAAATGGGCAGAGCGAAAAGCTTCTTGGCAAGTTCATACAAGAATTTCCAGGTCGGTATCTTTCTTGGTTTCATATACTTTCACTAAATTATGCAGGATTTAATCACTATAATACTAACCCTCTTCGCTTAATTTCTGACCAAATTGCAATAAGTCTTTGACTGTAAGAGTAATCCAGTTTGTAGTGATTAATTAGATGATCAATGTGGCTTAATGTATCCATGATTTCTGATCAATTTGAGCTATTTACCCTAAAAATATGAACCATTTCTTCATTTGTGCAAGTCATCAATCTTTTTAGTTTCTTACCTATAATACTAATCTTCTCTGGATCAATCTATGAATCATTCCATATCCATCCAATAAATAGACTCAGAACTTAGCTTCTTGGGCAGCCATGAGATATGAAGGCTGCTTTCCCTGGTTAGAGATAGGGAAAGAATCTGTTTTGGTTATCGCAAATCTACTAAGTGTATCCATGCCTTCATCTCAGGAAAACAGATGCGAAATGACATTGTGATTGCTACAAAGTTCGCAGCATATCCATGGCGTCTGACACCGGGCCAATTCGTTAAAGCTTGCAAGTAAAACGTCTCTAGATATTCTGTTTTCTTTCTCTGAAATACTTGACTTTATGCTGTCTTGAAGGCATCTATCTTTATTATAATCCATATGAACTGAAATGGCTCGCACATTTCGTTAGTTCATTTCAAAGAACCATTTCAATCCGAAAGCTTAAACTATTGGGTGAGGCCCTAGGATATGATTTATATTACTCTCTGACAGTGCGAACTGTTTGGTGCTAGCATCTGATGAATGGTTTTTCAGGGCGTCGTTGGAAAGGCTGCAAGTTGAGCAGATAGGCATAGGTCAATTACACTGGTCAACCGCAAACTATGCTCCTCCACAAGAGTTAGCTCTCTGGGATGGTTTAGTGGCAATGTATGAGCAGGTTACCACTACTTATTTTCAAAGGGATTTCAACTACTAGAAATGATTGTTGACCTGCAAGAACCTGTCCAGGATTGCTGTTGAAATCTGAATAATATTGAAGCAAATATGTTTTAGTCCATATGCAAGACATAAACGTTACTAGGACTTATCACACGGTATGCGTAACCATTAGGATGTTTATTTCCATTCAAGAACTAATATTTGCAAAAGAACTTTTCTGAAGAATGAGCCTTTTTACTGCTCAAAATCTAAAGAAGAGATAATGACAATGTTTACTTTCTTTTCTTTACCCATTTACATCAAGTAATCGGTTTTTCCTTTCTTTGGTTTTTTATATCCACAAGTTCTGATATAATTTCTTTATCTGTTGAGATTTCCTTTATAGATCCAAATGGTTAAACTCATGAAAGGTTTATTTAGGGTTTAGTTCGTGCCATTGGAGTGAGCAATTATGGGCCAAAGCAGCTCATAAAGATTCATGACTACCTTAAAGCCAGAGGAGTGCCCCTTTCCTCGGCTCAGGTATTACATGCACGATATGTCATGACATTAGCAGGGCAGGTTAACTGCACGAAACAGCAATTTCCTCAGCTACATCTAGCACCATCAATCTCATATTGACAATAACCTGATCACTAGGTACAATTTTCTTTGCTAAGCATGGGAGAAGATCAGATGGAGATCAAGAGGGTTTGTGATTCTCTGGGAATCCGATTGATTGCTTATAGTCCTTTAGGACTCGGAATGCTTACTGGGAAATATACATCTTCCAGACTTCCACTTGGCCCTCGGTACTGATCGAAATTTGTCGACTAGCTACTTTGAATGTGTGATAAAAGAAGGTTGCGCTTCTTGTCTCACAATAGGATCTTGTCTTCTTCAGGGCATACTTATTCAGGCAAATTCTTCCAGGACTGGAACCTTTGTTGAACTCCCTAAGAGAAATTGCACAGAGAAGGGGTAAAACTCTGCCACAGGTGAAGTTCAACCTTTTACTGATTGCTTCTTGTCTGTTCCTAGTGAAAAATTTATGTTTTCTTGCCTGAAAAACAATAAGTAAGGAAGCTATGGGTACAGAATAATATCTAAGCAGATTTACCAAACATAAACTTCTTTGGCTCAGAGAAGACGAGATTCCAACGTCTTAAGAAGGCAAGATAATCTTGCTTTGTTTTCAAGATCCAGTAGTGTGATCCACAAACTGCTTAGTTGTAACTAATCCCTCTTAACCTCTTATATTAGGCATATATCGTAGCATCAGATGTTTTGCCTATCTCCAAAGTAGCTGAGTTCATCTGGATTTTTACTAATGTAGGATATTATGTTAGCAGGTTGCTATAAACTGGTGCATTTGCAAAGGTGCTATTCCAATTCCAGGAATTAAGACAGTAAAACAAGCAGAAGAAAACTTGGGTGCCCTTCGTTGGTGCTTGAGTTCAGACGAGTTGCTTCAGTTGGAATACGCAGCAAGCGAGTCTCCACGGAAAATGATCCAAAACATTTTTCAGACAAGGTAAGCATCGTATCCAACCTCACCATTTGTTTAAATTTTCCTTATAAGGAGTTCTGTGACCAATTCATTAGTAAACAACAGATGACTTAGAGATAAAAGCTAGTACTGGAAATCCCTGTGACAAAAATTGAAGGCATGGACGAGGCAGAAGTCGAAAACCTGGTAGAAATCTCTGTTATGAGCCTAATACACGAGGAAAGTTGACATGGTTTGCAAAGAGTCTAAAATGGAGTAAAACCGGATGCTGCATCTGCTGCTGGTCCTTTGTTCCTCATGGGACAATATTGATGTTGATAATTACAAATGAACAAGACTTTATCGTCACAGTGATCTCCTTGATTTTTGGAAACTAGTCTCTGATTTTTCAACGAACATGTATCATTTAGTGATTGATAGAAGATTGTCCAAATAAAAGAAAATTTTTATTCATTTTCAAGTGAAAATAAAAACATAAGCAGATAGCTCCATCCATAGGAAAACATAGCAGGAAAACAAAATATAAGGTTGTTCCTAAACTAATCAGAGAGGATCGACAGGGCATTCCTTTAGCAAGCTTGCTGAGATTACAAATTTTCTTGTGCTTCTTTGTCTCTTCCGAATCGACTTGCTCACTAATCAGAGTCAGGTTGAACTTGAGAAATTTTGCATACAACAAGGTTTGCTATCTGAACATCAACAATACAAAACATCATTAAACAAAGTGTACTTCCTAAAACAGATGAACTGAAATAAATACAAGATTCATGTGAATTATGTCACCTTTTCCTGGATGCTACGGTCATCTTTGTTAATTGGAACAAACTCAGGATTAACTCTTAATTCTTCTACCATCCAATCAGTTTCAGTTCCATTGGGTGGGTCTCCTAGATAGAAATTCAGAGTCTTCACATAACCAACAATTATGTTGTTCCATGTGATCGGCCCTGTGCCTTCAGGGTCAATTTCATAGTAGCCATCCTCCATTAAGATAATGTCATCATCCTTGCTTCTAGTCGAAAAGAAAAACCACTCGTTCTCCACCCCTTCTTTAAAATCATCTACAGATTCATTATAAAAGCAGTATATAACTTAATCATGTAATGTTATGTTGACTTTGTTGCTGATGTTGTTTTGAACTATGAGTATTCAGCATAATCTCATCTAATGTGTTAAACACGTTTAGTCTTTTGTTACCAAAAGATTTTCAAGTCTAATTAACAACCATCATCATGTGTCAAAAAAAAAAAACAAAAAAAAAACGAGATTTAGCGGCTTAATCTATAATTTTTCGATCTATACTTATATCCTAAGTTGAATGTCTAACCTATCCTTCTAGCAAGATTTCAGACTAAAATATCGGAATTATTTACAGAATTTGCACAGGAAAGCCTTTTAATTGACTTGCTTGCAAGAGTATATAGGTTTGAAACTTAACGTGAATAATTTCGGTGATTTGACTAGAAAATCTTGACATGATAACTATAGGTTTGAAACTTAACATGTATATAGAAGGATAAAACTTAACGTGAATGCATTTGTCATTTTACTTCTTCTGATTTAGGTGGATTAAAATGGTAAATAATATTTTTAAGTAAACATTTCTTAATTTCAAATCAATAATAAATCATGCTAATGTAATAGAAGAAGAGAAAAATTACGTGAATAATTGACTTGCTTGCAAATTACGTGAATAATTTCGGTGATTTGACTAGAAAATCTTGACATGATAACTATAGGTTTGAAACTTAAGTTGTATATATAAGGACAAAACTTGACTTGATTACAAATATAAGAATAGATTGGAGAATTATCAGAATATAAAGATAGATTGAGTTATTAACCTAAAAAAAAATTCAATAAATAGATAAACTTACCTAAAGGGAGTTTATAAGGGTTTGATGCATATACATCAGTGGTGGGAATAACATCAGCAGGCAGTGGTTCATCCAGAATTTTTCTCTTCAAATAATGGACGATAAGATCATGATGAAAAGGGCTAAACTTGTATCCAGTAGGGAGACTAGGCACAGCTTGTCCACCACTAACCATTTTCAGATTCAGACAACTTTATAGAGACAACAAGAAAAACTATGAAGACTGTTCAAGAAAGAGATCAATGATTTTTGCAAGGTCGCGTAGTCTATATATAGAGAGAGACAAACTGCTGGAAATTGACTAGTCTCCAATTTGTATTAATAAATCCTGATACTACAATTCAGTATTTTTCCTGTTCTGTTTGATTAAAATTCAACCAGTGCTAATTAATAAGGATTCTACCGTAAGAAGGACAAAAAAGGCCCAGGCGGTTCAGATTTTTGAAGGAACTAAATGCCTGCCCCAAAAAAGGAAAAAAATATAGGAGGATGTCTTTTGATTTTCCAATTCTGAAAATCTTCACTCCGTTCTTCAAGCATGCTCATGTAAAGTTGAGACAACACTTTAATGTCGTACCTTCTGTTAAAATATCAAAATTCACCATTATCGTCTCCAGACATAATTTCAGTGCTAAGTTTCATTTTTCCATGCGACAATAACTGCATGAGCAACACTTTATTACGTGAACCTGCAGTAAACATTGCAGAAACACCAATTTTGTGAGTGCCATGTACTGTATAGTATAGAACGAGTGTGAAAAACATGCTAATCTTGTTCAAATATAATGAATGACACTTTAATATCATGTTTTCTGCATATATAGTGGAATTCCATCTCAACTGTTGACTCATACCTCTCATAAAAACATGAGATTTATGAATTATTTTTTTGATGGATTTTATTTTTTTTGTAAGATAAAGAAGTGTAGTTTTCAGTATACCTAATAATTTCTCGGTTATGCTAGTGTCTGAATTCTTTTTCTTGTTTATCATGGCGCACCATTCATCATTGTTCAAAACATCAAACCATTTGGTTTTCTATCTTGGGCATCAATGCATTGTCCTAAGCAAGATTATTCTCAAGAAGATTATCTGGAATAGAGAAAAGCATTTTAAAAAAGAAAATGCCCCCTAGTACATTCGCGCAACATGTTCGAAAATTGACCAGTTTTAAAATATATTGAATGCATTTATCATTTTACTTCTTTCGATTTAGGTGGATTAAAATGGTAAATAATACTTTGAAGTAAATATTTCTTAATTTCAAATCAATAATAAATCATGCTAATGCAGTAGAAGTTTTTTTTTTCTTTAAAAAAAAAAAGGTTCAATCCATAAAAATTGCAACACTTTGATAATATGTCATGACAATAGCAGGCAGGTTAGCTGCTCCAAACAGCAATTTCCTCAGCTATATCTAGCACCATCAATCTCATATTGACAATAACCTGATCACTAGGTAATTATTTTTCCTTGCTAAATATGGGAGAAGATCAGATGGAGATCAGGAATGTTTGGGATTCCTTATAGTCCTTAAGGATTCGGAATGCGTACCGAGAGATATACATCTTCCAGACTTCCACAGGGCCTCGATACCGAAATTTGTCAGCTTGCTACTTTGAATGTGCGATAAAAGAAGATTTCCACTTCATTGCTTATTGACTGCTTGTCTCACAGTATGATCTTGTCTTCTACAGGGCATTCTTATTCAGGCAAATTCTTCCAGGACTGGAACCTTTGTTGAACTCCCTATGAGAAAATGCACAGAGAAGGGGTAAAACTCTTCCACAGGTGAAGTTCAGCTTTGTATTGATTGCTTCTTGTCTGTTCCTATTGAAAAATTTATTTTTTCTTGTCTGAAAGACCATGAGTGAGTAAGCTGTGGGTAGAGAATAATATCTACCCAGATTTACGAAACATAAACTTCTTTAGTCCGGAGAAGATGAGATTCCAACATCTTGAAACGATCCAAAACATTTTTCAGACAAGGTAAGCATTGCATTCAACCTTGCAATTGTTGTTTAAATTTTCCTTATAAGGGGATCTATGACCAATTCATTAGTAAACAACGGATGACTTAGAGATAAAAGCTAATCGCAGTGATCTCCTGGATTTTGGACACTACTCTCTGATTTTTCAATGAACATGCATCTTTTAGTGATTGGTAGAAGATTGTCCAAATAAAAGAAAATTTTATTCATTTTTGTGTAAAAATAAAAACATAAGCAAATAGCTCCATCCATAGATACAACTTCTGCAGTAGATTTAGTTCCTTATTTATAAGTTTGTTCCTAAACTAATCATAGACGATCGACAGGCGCATTCCTTTAACAAGCTTGCTGAGATTACAAATTTTCTTGTGCTCCTTTATCCCTTCCGAATCGACTTGCTCACCAATCAGATTCAGGTTGAACTTGAGAAATTTTGCATACAACAAGGTTTGCTATCTGAACATCAACAATCCAAAACATCATTAAACAAAGTGTACTCTCTAAAACAGATGAACTGAAATAAATACAAGATTCATGTGAATTGTATTACCTTTTCTTGCGTGCTACGGTCATCTTTGTTAATTGGAACAAACTCAGGATTAACTCTTAATTCTTCTACCATCCAAACAGTTTCAGTTCCATTGGGTGGCTTTCCTTGATAGAAATTCAGAGTCTTCACATAGCCAACAATCATATTGTTCCATGTGATCGGCCCTGTGCATTCAGGGTCAATTGCATAGTAGCCATCCTCCATTAAGATAATGTCATCATCCTTGCTTCTAGTCGAAAAGAAAAACCACTCGTTCTCCACCCCGACTTTAAAATCATCTACAGATTCATTACAAAAGCAGTATATAACTTAATCGTGTAATGTTATGTTGATTTTGTTGGTGCTGAAGGAAGCATCATGTATAATGGAGGAAACATCAAGCACGGGCATGTCCGAATCCATTAAATAACAGTTGCAGTCGTTTTTTTGAACTATGAGTCTCCAGAATAATATAATCTAATGTGTTAAACATGTTTTAGTCTTTTGTTACCAAAAGATGGTCAAGTCTAATTAACAACCATCATTAAACATGCAGTAATTTTTCAATCTATACTTATATCCTTAATTGAATGTCTAACCTATCTTTCCAGCTAGATGTTCAGGATAAACTATCAGAATTAGTCACGAGATTTGCACACGAAAGCCTTCTAATTAACTTGCTTGCAAGAGTATTTTAAGAATAAAAATTAGTTATGACCTGAAAATTTTGACAAAAAGATAGATTATAAACTTAAGATGTCGTCATCCTTGCTTCTAGTCGAAAGGATAAACCATTCGTTCGGCTCCCTGACTTTAAAATCATCTACATATTCATCATATAAGTTAGGTTTTGCAGTATATAACTTAATCATGTAATTTAAATAATGTTGACTTTGTTCGTGCAGAAGCAGCAATTCATTAATGGTGGAAACATCATCTGTAATGGAGGAAACATCAAGCATGAGCATGTCCGAATCCATTAAATAGCGATTGCTGATGTTATTTTGAACTGTGAGTCTCCACTCTCCAGCATAATCTCATCTAATGTGTTAAACATGTTTGGTCTTTTAATTTGTTACCAAAAGATATTCAATTCTGATTAACAACCATCATCAAACATGCAGTGCCCATCATCATGTGTCAAAAAAAAAAAAAAAAGGTTTAGCGGCTTAATATATAATTTTCCGATCCATACTTAGTTGAATGTCTAACCTATCCTTCTAGCAAGATTTCGGACTAGATTATCGGAATTAGTTACAGAATTTGCACACGAAAGCTTTTTAATTTACTTGCAAATCAAGCAAATAATTTCGATGATTTGACCTAAAAATATTGCCATGACAAAACTATAGGTTTGAAACTTACCGTATATCTATGGATAAAATTTGACTCGATTACGAATAGAAGAACAGATTGGAGAATTATCGGGATAACTTACCTAAAGGGAGTTTATCAGGGTTTGATGCATATACATCAGTGGTGGGAATAACATCAGCAGGCAGTGGTTCATCCAGAATTTTTCTCTTCAAGTAATGGACAATAAGATCATGATGATAAGGGCTAAACTTGTATCCAGTAGGGACATTAGGCACAGTCAAAGCTTGTCCACCACCAGCCATTTTCAGATTCGGAAAACTGTATAGAGACAAGAACTGTAATTCGAATAAGAAAAACTTTGAAGACTAGTCAAGAAAGATATCAATGATTTTTGCAAGGTCGGATAGTCTATATATATAGACAGACAAACTGCTGGAAATTGAATCTGTCTGCAATCTGTATTAATAAATCCTGATACTACAATTCATTATTTTTCCTGTTCTGTTTGATTAAAATTCAACCAGTGCTAATTAATAAGGATTCTACCGTAAGAAGGAAAAAAAAGTCCCAGGCGGTTCAGATTCTTGAAGGAACTAAATGCCTACCCCAAAAAAGGAAAAAAAAAAGGAGGATATCTTTTGATTTTCCAATTCTGAAAATCTTCACTCCATTCTTCAAGCATGCTCGTGTAAAGTTGAGACTCAAAAACTTTAATGCACGTACCTTTGTTAACATATCAAAGTCCACCATTATTCTCGGTAGATTTTGATATCAATTCACCATTACTCTTGGTAGATTTTGATGTCAATTCACCACTACTCTTGGCACTTGGTTATTGATTGAGGGATTTTGGATGATTGATTACGATTAATTTTAGAGATTTATGGAATCAATTAGCTTTAATCTACAGATTACATTCCTTATATAGATCGATGAGAATGTGTATCAATTAACTCATGAGATGTATTGTTAGATAGAAAAATACATTCAGTTTCAATATATTTCTTCTCACTTGCAAGATTATTCAATATTATTTTAACTTTAACTTCCGAGGCAATTCTCGTCGCCTAGTTAGCGGCTTGTCTTTGATTGCTAAGTTCCTAGTTTAGCTCAAGCTCAAGATCCTTACAATCCAAGAGAACATAAGACAAGAAATCAATTAGCTTTAATTTACATATTACATTCCTCGTATAGATCGATGAGAATGTGTATGAATTAACTCACGAGATGTATCATTGGATAGGGAAATACATTCAACTTCGACATATTTCTTCTCACTTACAAGATTATTCAATATGATTTTAACTTTAACTTCCGAAGCAATTCCGCCGTCTAGTTAGCATTTTGTCTTCAATTGCCAAGTTCCTAGTTTGGTTCGGGCTCAAGATTCTTACAATCAAAGAGAACATGAGACAAGAAATCAATTAGCTTTAATTTACGGATTACATTCGTTGTATAGATCGACGAAAATGTGTAAGAATTAACTCACGAGATGTATTGTTGAATAGGAAAATGTGTTCGGCTTCGACATATTTCTTCTCACTTACAAGATTATTCAATATTATTTTACCTTTAACTTCCAAGGCGGTTCTGTCGCTTAGTTAGCGGCTTGTCTTCGTTGCCAAGTTACTAGTTTAGCTCGGGCTCAAGATTCTTACAATTCAAGAAAACATGAGACAAGAAATCAATTAGCTTTAATTTACATATTACATTCCTTGTACGGATCGTTGAGAATGTGTATGAATTAACTCACGAGATGTATTGTTGCATAGGGAAATACATTTAGTTTCGACATATTTGTTCTCACTTATAAGATTATTAAATATTATTTTAACTTCCGAGATGATTCTCGCTGCTCGGTTAGCAGCTTTTCTTCCATTACCGGGATCCCAATTTAGCTCGAGCTCAAGATTCTTACAATCCAAGAGATTTATGGAATCAATTAGCTTTAATTTACAGATTGCATTCCTTGTATAGATCGATGAGAATATGTATAAATTAACTCATGAGATGTATTGTTAGATAGAAAAATACATTCGGTTTCAACATATTTCTTTTCACTTGCAACATTATTCATTATTATTTTAACTTTAACTTCCAAGGCAATTCTCGTCGCCTAGTTAGCAGCTTGTCTTCGGTTGCCGTGTACTTAGTTTAGCTCAAACTCAAGATCCTTACAATCCAAGAGAATATAAGACAATAAATCCATTAGCTTTAATTTACATATTACATTCCTCGTATAGATCGATAAGAATGTGTATGAATTAACTCACGAGATGTATTATTGGATAGGGAAATACGTTCAACTTCGACATATTTCTTCTCACTTACAAGGTTATTCAATATGATTTTAACTTTAACTTCCGAGCCAATTTCGCCGTCTAGTTAGCAATTTGTCTTCAATTGCCGGGTTACTAGTTTGGTTCGGGCTCAAGATTCTTACAATCAAAGAGAACATGAGACAAGAAATCAATTAGCTTTAATTTATAGATTACATTCCTTGTACGGATAGTTGAGAATGTGTATAAATTAACTCACGAGATGTATTGTTGCATAAGAAAATACATTCAGTTTCGACATATTTGTTCTTACTTACAAGATTATTAAATATTATTTTAACTTCCGAGACGATTCTCGCTACTCGGTTAGCAATTTGTTTTCGGTTGCCAAGATCCCAGCTTTGGCTCGAGCTCAAGATTCTTACAATCCAAGAGAACATGAGACAAGAAATCAATTAGCTTTAATTTACATATTGCATTCCTTGTACACATCAATGAGAAAGTGCATGAATTAACTCACGAGATGTATTGTTGGAAAGAAAAATACATTCAGTTTCGACATATTTTTTCTTTCTTACAAGATTATTCAATATTATTTTAACCTTTGAGGCGATTCTGCTGCTCGGTTAGCAGCTTGTCTTCGGCTGTTAGGTTCCCGGTTTGGCTCGGGCTCAAGATTCTTACAATCCATGAGAACCCGAGACCCGAGAAGCTAAATTTCACCTACTGATTTGTACATGAATAGAGCACTTCCCTTATAGTTCGAAAAGATAAAGGAGGGTGATTGCATGTTTGCCAGTGCATCCAGTTTTCTACTCGATTACGTCCAAGACAAATAAGCAAGAAAGCCAATTAACAAAAGTCAGCACAGGAAAGTACTGTTAAGAACTTCATAGTATCGTTATGTCTTTTTGACAATGTTTTACCTTAACTAAAGCCATAAGAAAATAGCAAGCATCAGGGAAGAGTCACTCCAGACTTAAATTTCAGTCATAAATGCTTAGTTCTTCAGGACAGGTGAGGTGCTGGATGTCCCCGGGTATGGATTTCAGATTCTTGTAACGATCAATGGAAAGGTTAGCGAGGGAAGTGGGAAGCAGTAGACCACTATCATCTGGAAAGTAATCCAAGTTTGCTGTGTAAGGACTTTCAGAATCGATGGTCAGATGTGTAAGAGAGGTAAGTGTATGGTTTTGGGGCAAACCGCTTGCCGTACAGGACACCAAACTGCTACAACTCTATATATTCAATCTTTGAAGAGAAGAGAAGTTGTCTATGAAATTGGCTACACAACTCAATTTCTCACAAAACCATAAATCTAAGTCAATAAGAATGGGGAGGTGCATTCCCCATTTGGGGAATGACTCCAACTCATGACACCTGAATATTTTCAACTTAGTGAGATGGAAGAGGCTGTGTGGGGAAGGAAATGATTGTACATGGGGATCGACGATATCAAGCGATCATGTTATTCGTGGGAACCTAACGTTTTTCCTCCCTAACTATGGCTTGATAACGTATTAAATGAGCATAAACATGACATCTCCTAATTAAGTTGATGAATCGTTCAGAAAGTCGACTATTTTACTTTTCCTTCTCAAAATGTCGACTATTCTACTTGTCCTTCTCATAATAAAAACATAGGAATTATAAATTTTTTTAATGGAGGATTCGATTTCTTGTGAGGATTTATAAATTATTGGTAGTCTGATGATATAGTTGAAAAATGTACTTTTTATCTTTTTCAGTTACCTATACATCGTCCCACATATTTTAGGACATCCTGGCAATTTCAGGGCATCTGAATCCTGAAAAGGCTGAGTTCCGGTGCATATCGTTCAGGAAATTCTAACAATTTCAAGTCATCTGAAACTGGAAAGGCTGTGTCCGTAACTTGTGTCATGCAGGAGCATCAGTTGTCGGCAATAAGCCAAAGTCTCAAATCTGAAATTGCATTTGTCGCAAATATGGGACAGAGAACATGGACGAAAGCTGCTGGTGCAGGTATCTTAGCTACAAAGCTACCAATTTTCTGATCAAAATCAGAACTCAGGGTCCAATAGCTAAACTATCAACCTACCAAACTTTAATTTCTGTAAACATGCAACTTAGAAAGCAAATTCCCTTTGATCAGATTAGTTTATAACTGGCACATTATTTAAGAAGGATTTGTGTTGAAGTTCGGAGCACGCATTCAAAATAAGGATCACAGTACAAATGTATCCTAAATGAAAATAACATTAACCAAATATTCATAAAAGCATTGTAGCTTCAAGCTAAAAACAAGAAAGTCTTAAACCCTAGCCAGCAAATTGCTTGAAACCAACAATTAAAGACAAACATCCAATAACCTAATATGAAATGCAGGAGCCGCAATTCCTGATCAGAAGTCTACTTAATCTTCTTCTTTGGCCTCAACTGCAAGAGAAAAAAACAGATAATGGGTGTTAATTAATTCAAAAAATAAAACAAGCAAAAGGTGCACAGTAATAAAATCTAAACATCAAATGCAGTTGACAAATGTGCTGAGATTATTTACCTGGTTGCTGTGGCCACACTTCTTCTTCCTGCAGTTGACAGCACGAGGATGAAGGCGTGCATAACATCTGTGACACATTATTCAACAGTCAGAATTATGCAAACTACCTCCACAAACCCACAATGTGCATCACTTGCATCCACAAATAAAGATAAAAATTTTCATACCAAGACATTCAACATCACAACTGCTCAACATGCTGCATGCCTTTAGCAGCTCATTAATGCCACAAGTTTAAGGTGTTTGGTTTCTTAAAAGGGAAATTGTTTAGATGAATATAAAAACATCTAGTGATTTATCAACGTTACGAGGATAGATACATAAGCAGAGTTTGAGCACATCTAAACTTACTTGCGGCAAATCATCTTTTCCTGGTTATATTTCCTGGCCAAAGCCATCAAAGATGGCTCAATAATGCCACCACGAAGCCTCAGAACAAGATGCAGTGTAGACTCTGCACAAATACACAGATTTAAAATCAAACAGCCATTACAGCTTCGTTGCACAAAACAAATATCCAAGTCAGGACCATATTCGCATTCCATTTGTTTGGTGTACAAAAAAAACCAGCAAGTTAAAGGCTTTTTATCAAGACATTTTACATCCAGCCTCAAAACCTCAAGGGATAATTGTTGGTTGTGACATGGTAAGTAGAAAATTCAAACAGAATAACACAAGCAAGCCACCTATATATTGCAACATTATTTGGGAAGACAACTTTTTCCATCAACAATTAAGATTCTGTAGAGTATGATCGAGAAAACTAAAATTGACAAATAACCCAAATTAATAAAAACACCAAACCCATCTTCAAATTTCAATGTTATTTAGCAAATATATAAACTTTAATTTTTATTGTGAAGTTTCTCTACCATGCGAACATGATAATTATAATTATTCAACAAATTGCACTCTTTGAATTACAAAACTTTCATTTAAACATACACGAAACAAAAACCAATTGGTTATTGTTTTTTTTTTCGAGAAAAAATTGAGTAAAAATAACATCTTATATCATTAAAATTGTCCACTACGTGACCATGACAGTCATAACTCTTAAGCAAAATCACCCTTTGAATCCCAAAACTTTAATTTATGAAACAAATGAGCTAAAGCGACAACTCAATTAACTAAATTTTCAAACTTCTAAACCAAACCAAAAAAAAAGGAGAAATCATTCTCAAGAAACTAACCCTTTTGGATATTGTAATCAGCAAGAGTACGTCCATCTTCCAGCTGCTTTCCAGCAAAAATCAGCCTCTGCTGATCAGGAGGAATCCCTGATAAACACCAACAAAAAAATCTCAACCATCAGATCTTAATCGCCAGAATGAAAAATACAATCTGGAAAAAAAAACAGAGAAGGATAATTGTTTTATAAGTTAACGAACGAGTACCTTCCTTGTCCTGGATTTTTGCTTTGACATTGTCAATAGTATCACTAGATTCGACCTCAAGAGTGATGGTCTTGCCAGTCAGGGTTTTCACAAAGATCTGCATCTTGCCTAGAGCGAGGCGAAAACCTAACCTTTGCTTCCATTATATAGCGTGGAAGTTTTTGCCAACTAGGGTTTCTCTTATATTTTTAGGTGGTGTTTGTTTTCGAGAATTGTGAGATTCCTAAACGAGAATAGGTTTATATCGTCATTTGGTCTTCTTTTTTTCCAAATGATGCAATTAAAGTTTACTTAATTCGTGAATTTCTCAAGCGAATTTTATTTTATATTTTTGTGAAATTTTTAGTATCTAATTCTTGAAAATTTAGCACTACTCTTCGAAAATGTTTCGGATAATTACTTTCCAAAAAATCACATAAAATTAACATTTTTATGAAATTTTTAATATTGAATTCTTGAAAATTTAGCACTACTCTTCGAAAATGTTTCGAAAATTACTTTCCAAAAAATCACATAAAATTAACATTTTTATGAAATTTAGCACTAGTCTTCGAAAATATTGAATTCTTGAAAATTCAGCATTACTCTTCAAAAATGTTTCGAAAATTACTTTCCAAAAAATCACATAAAATTAACATTTTTATGAAATTTTTAGTATTTAATTCTTGAAAATTTAGCATTACTCTTGGAAGATTTTTTTATGATTTTTTTGGTGATATCAAACTTTTATAATTGATAATATCAACACATTAGGGATTTTTATGTTTTTTTTTTTCATTTTTTATTGTGGTAGTCACTAAAAAACTATAGAGATAGGTATCAAAACTTTTCTGATTCCAAATTATTCATGACCCAGAAGGCTAATTAAAAAAAGTTTGTATACACTTAGGCCAAAGATTGATCTGAATTTTCTAAAACTAAAAAAGTAATTATTCTAGATAAAAACTCCAAATATATAAATAAATAAATAAACCACAAAAATTTAAGGTAATAATTCGTTCAGCTACCATTTGTTGAAATTTATCTTAGAAAATAATAAAAACATCAACCTCATTAGGTTAAGTTAAAAAAATCTTTTTTTTTTATCATCGTATATATTTTCTATCGATTTTAACAAGTCATGAACGTATTAGTTTTTTAATTCTAAAAATATTTTTTCCACGAGAGTGAACTAAACTCTTTTTTTTTTTTCACAGTAAGAATTGATTTTCCATGAAGGATTCAATGGATTTTTTTTTTTAAATCAGATTTTGGTTAATCAATCTAACTAAAATCAAAATCAAAATTGAACCGAATTGAGATTCGATTTTTTGATTAAAAAACTAAAATTTTAAATCAAGTTTTTTTTTTCTAAATTTTGAATTTTTTTTTTACTAAGCTAAAAGACTACTTTTTTGTAATTTTTTTTTCGATTTTTAAAGAACATTAATAACTTGAATTAAAATTTTAGTAAAAAAATCATAAGAAAATACTATGGTCAAAGTCTGGATAATCTTCTGTCTATCAAAAATTCAGATATAATAACTTGAATAGTGCTAATCTTAAATTAATTCGGTATCAAATAGTTTGTAATCCAATGATAGTGATCTCTTACAAGAAATCACGAGTTCAAATCTTAACATATTAGTTCGTTAGAAACTTTATGTGTTTGTTAAAAACAAATAAACACTAATTTAGTTTTCGATAGAAACCAAATTTTTTTAAAAAAGTCATATTGAATTTAAATAATTTCAATTTTGATTTTTTTTCAAATTTTTCGTATAAAACTCAACTAGAATTGCTAATTTGATTCCATTCAATTTTTCGATTTTAATAGTGCTCACACTGCGCGTAAAGTAACCACCAATCACAGCTCCCCAAACTACAATAGCGGGACCCACACCTTTCAATAGTACACGTGTACCTCTCTCAGCATAGTTTGTAACGCCACCTCATAAAAAAACCCAAAACCCAAACTCTTTACCTTACTCTCTCCTTCACCTATCATCAATCCCAGATCATCAGAAATGCTTCAAAGAATCCAACGGCTATAAGTAAATCTCTCACACTTTCTATGGCTACTGCTTCTTCATCTCTCACGTTCTCCACATCTCTGCCAAAACTTTGCAGACCCTACTCCATTTGTATTACCTCACCACCACAGGTATCACTTAATTTCAAGGAACTCAATTATTCAGTGAGTTCTGCTTTAAAGATATCAAGAAGAACAACAACAAAGGCATCATCCATGGCTTCTTCTGGGATCACAACCGTTGATCAGAGTAACAAGAAGGTAGTAGAAGTGTTTGATACAGAGGAGGATTTGGCTGTGTCTCTTGCAAAATACACAGCTGATTTATCTGATAAGTTTGCCAAAGAAAGAGGGGCTTTCACTGTTGTTGTGTCTGGTGGTTCTCTCATCAAGTCCCTCAGGTACTTGTCATTTCCTCACTTGGTTAAATCAGTCAAGTTCGATCATTTTTAGTTCATTATTGGATTGATGAAGATGGGTTTTGGTTTTTTGTTGTTGGGGTTCAGGAAATTAGTGGAGGCACCTTATGTGGATTCAATAGACTGGTCAAAATGGCATGTGTTTTGGGTTGATGAGAGAGTTGTTCCTAAAGATCATCCAGACAGTAACTACAAACTTGCTTTTGATGGTTTCCTCTCAAAGGTACATTTCTGTTTCTTTTTTTAGTAACATCGTGGTTTTTTGGCCTAAAAAAGATTACATTGATTTCATCAGTCCATGTTTTGTGGCCATTCTTCAAGTTATGTTGTTCTTAGGATTATGATCTTCACGTTGGAAATTATTGTTGATAGTCTGAATGTCTATTGGCAATTTGAATGGTGCTTTTTCTGTTTGTTATCATAAGTTTAGAAATATGAGCATCATTTAGGCGACCCAGTTGATTTTGCTGAGAAGTCTAGATAAGTCCCTTCTTTTTATTATTTGTTTGCCATTATAATATTAGACAATGGAGAGAGGTATTCCACCAAATGGAGAAATACAGAAAATATTCAGACCCTGAAAGTAAAAATGCTCTTGCAAATCTAATTTCTAGTGAACCAAATGAGACATTAGGTACTATCTCTGGGTTTCGGGAAACCGGGGTCAAATGTTTCAACTGAAGTGTGAAAGTGCTAACTATTTAAAATGAGGCTATTAAAGAAAATTGAAGTTGCCCTTATTGATGTTGATTTTTTTCAATTGCTGTTAATACTCATATTTTGATGTTTTTAGGCAGCTTTATCTATTTTCTTATCGATATGAGAGAACGTACTTTTATCGGCATAACAATCATAATCTCTTGTTGTAAGTTATATATCAAATTAACTGATTGCGAAAAGTCATGTTTGTGATATAATACAGGAGCTTACATCTTTTCTGTGATGGATATAAGACTCTTGATGCTAGTTTCTGTCCTACTTTAACAAGATAAACCTTTTTTCTCCTTCATTTTCGACAGGTACCAATCCCCCTGGTAATGTTTATGCCATCAATGATACCCTGTCAGCTGAAGGTGCAGCTGACGATTACGAAACCTGTCTGAAACATTTGGTTCAGACTGGGGTGATAGATAAATCTTCCGTGAGCGGGTTCCCAAAGTTTGATCTCATGCTTGTGGGCATGGGTCCTGATGGACATGTAGCCTCTCTGTTCCCTGGCCATCCACTCCTCAAGGAAAACCAGAAATGGGTCACACACATCAAAGATTCTCCAAAACCACCTCCCGAGAGAATTACGTTTACCTTCCCTGTCATCAACTCATCTGCATATATTGCTCTTGTGGTGTGTGGTGCTGGTAAAGCTAGTGTAGTGCAGACAGCATTGGGAAAGAATCAAAACTCTGAGGTGTTCCCTGTTCAAATGGTTTCTCCCGACGGGGAATTGAAGTGGTTTTTGGACAAAGATGCGGCTTCAAAGCTGTAGGAGTGCAAATATAGCTTCATGAGTTCATCCAAATAAAAGTTTCTAGTAACATGTATGTTTTCTGCTGTGTTGTTGATCAGTAGATGTGCTACTCGATGTTGTAATCTCAGTGATAGTTGAGGGTTAGTGGGGGTTTTCTTCTTGTTGTATTCAGTCAATTCAAACACCATTGTTATACCTAATGTCTTTCGGTAGCTTTTCAAATTTTGCAGATACTATCTTGCTTGTAGTTTCACTGATTTTTATTACAGAACTCGTCGATTCTATAGTCTCTGTTGAGTTCCTATGATTCTTTGCCTGATAAATATGTGTCTATGAAGAAACATGCCATTTTCAGAGATTGACGGGTTCTTGATGGTTTGTACTCTTTTGTTTGTTTAGGAAACGAAACTACCTTATGTGGATTCAATAAATTGGTTAAAATGGCGTGTGTTTTGGGTGTATTAGAGGGTTCTACTACAGATCATGTTGACAGTAACTAAGAGCTTGCTTTTGATAGATTTCTCTGAAAGGTATCTTGCTTTTGCCTTTTTCTTCCCGCTACCTTAAAGATTCATTCCACCATTTCCCTCCATATTTTTTCACAGCACAAAAACCAAAAAGTCAAAAACCATTCTTTCCCGCACTTTTCGTATTACTCCAGACAGCATATAATCATTTATCAAAACAATTCAAGCATCGTTCTACTTACTAAAAAAAGAAATAACAAATAAAAACCATACCTTTTTGCGGCGATTCGTTTCCAAAATCCGCTGCCTGTAAGCATAAATAGGCAACCCATCTTCCAACCTCCTAATTTCTCTCAAAACTAATCTGTGAATTCTTTCCCAATCAATCTCTCCATCAAACACAAACACCTCCAAACCCTTCCCCTTCCCCTCCTCCTTCAATATACTTCAAAATGCAGTTCATGGCCACCTTGAATTCCCTCAATCTCTTCTCAATCAAATCCCTTTCCGCCATCAACCCTTTTTTCCTCTCATTCAAGCCACTCAATCCTCTCCATCCTACCCTTTAAGCAACTTCATCACCTGCGCAATCTCATCACTTTTTTCACTCGATTTGATCTGCCACCTCCAAACCATATTCTCATCAGCATTAACATTACTAACTACACCCTCTATTAATCCATTAAGATAATCGATAAGTTTCTTCTTTAAAGTCTGTTTTAACTCCTCGGTTGTGGGATGGTTCTTGTCGAGGGAAAATTTTGTTGATGCGGTGGTGGGGCGGAGGTGGGAAACGCCGGGTGGTACTGTTGCTGGTGGTGGAGTGAACGGACGATCCTCTCATAATCACATTGGGAGAAAAACAAAAACCCTAGAAAGAAAAGATAGTAAGGTAGAGAGCGTGAGGATGGTTCTTGTAGTGTAGGAAGGCAGACATAGGTGGTGGTTCTTGTAAGGTGGGAAGGCAGATTTAGTGGGTTGAATGAGAGGGAAAAAAGGGTTGATGGCGGAAAGGGATTTGATTGTGAGAGATTGAGGGAATTTAAGGTGGCCATGAAGTGCATTTTGAAGTATATTGAAGGAGGAGGGAAAGGGGAAGGGAGTTTGGAGGTGTTTGTGTCTGATGGAGAGATTGATTGTGAAAGGATTCACAGATTAGTTTTGAGAGAAATTAGGAGGTTGGAAGATGGGTTGCCTATTTATGCTGATAGGCAGCAGATTTTGGAAACAATTCGCAGCAAACAGGTATGGTTTTTAGTTGTTATTTCTTTTTTTCGTAAGTAGAATGATGTTTGAATTGTTTTGATAAACGATCATATGCTTTCCGGAGTAAGATGAAAAGTTTGGGAAAGAATGGTTTTTGGTTTTTTGTGTTGTGAACAAATATGGAGGGAAATGGGGGATCTGATTGTTGATGTGTTATTCAAGTTGTGAGGTTGTTGTCTTCTAATAATTATGTGTGTTGGCTGTTCATTTTTAGTGTTCAAGATTAAATTTTGTTTGCCTCTATTCTAGCTTTACCTATCAGCTTATGGAATTCATTCCACCAAGGTTTCAAAGTGATATGCTTGTGTTGCCAAGAAATTTTTGTTCTTTTATTTGAGAATCAATCAAATTTGATTATTCTTAATTATGCTGAGGATCCATGATTAACTTTGTGTGGAGGCGATCGATTCTTTCCTTGATGAAATTGTAGATTCATCTGAAAAATGTTAATGGTCAAAGTCTGTGTCAAAAGTCACAAATAAGCCATCTAAGGCTTTGCAACAAGAATGTGCTAGCTTTTTCTGTGTCTTTATAATCGTGTCTCAGAATTTCTTAGGAGATGATTGTAAAAAAATAACTGGAACTGCTTGGCAAAACATTTGTTTGAATCGTAAATTGCTAAGAAGTTAGAGCAAAATACATTATTCAGCACTCTTTAATGGTTCTTCTTTTCCTTCAGAGAAAGGCTAGAGCTGAGTAGCTGCTGCATCATCCCTGAAAATGATGTTTTGGACAGATACCAGAATATAAAATAGAAGCCATAATTCAACAGCAGCACTGCGGAAATTTCATGCTGAGTCAGGTAAAACTTTCTAGGTCAAATTAGTAAGAACAACTTGATTTTTATTTTTCTTTTCTTTTCCAAAGTAAAGCCATATGTCATGCAATATATCCTGCTAAGTCTCAAAGACTTGTGCACTAGAGATTCATGCAATTCTATTAGAGTCAATCACAAATCACTATTTCGTTTGTCTTTCCTTTTCTTTTCTTTTTCTCTTATTGGAAAGCTTAAACAAAAAGGTAGATAAGAAATTGTAAGTATTGCCTTAAAGATTCATAGTAATTGCCCAGGATGTGGATGTTGGTAGCAGTATCGTTTGTGTGAGATAGAATGGCAAGTTTACTGTTGACCATAGTTTTAAATCGCAGATGTGGTTATAAAAACAAATTGCAATCAAGGATCAAAATAACAGTCATGACGAATGGTGCCATAAATAATTTAGCTGCTATTAATAAATTTATGCCAAAAGTTTATTATTATTTAAAAAAATAATAATAATATAATGATTGTTATTTGGATCATTATTCTCCAAATAACAGCAATAATGGTCGTTACCGTTATATAACGTGTTATTGTTGTTATTGTGTGAATTAGAATTATGCTGTGTATAATGGCGAAAAAACAATAACAGTTTTGGCTGATTCCGTTAAATAACTATTGCAAGCAACCTCAAAATGATTTAGCCTAACTTGGGACTGGCAATTTTGTTAGGTAGGAAATAATTATGTAATAATGGTGTCACCTAGAAAACAGATCCAAGTAAAGTATAAAGGAAAACCTAATATGCTTGCCTTGATCCCTTTTAATTTCTTGTCCTGAAGTTCTCAATATCTTATCTTTAAGCTTTACCTTAGTAACCATTGAATAATCACATATAGCTTATCGTTTTTCACCTAATTTTTCTAATATATATGTTGTAATGTAGGAAGGCAGACATAGGTGGTGGTGTATTTTGAAGTGCATCTTGAAGGAGGGAGTTTGGAGGTGTTTGTCTTTGATGGAGAGATTGATTGGGAATTGTTTTGATATATGAAAAGTGTGGGAAAGAATGGTTTTTGGTTTTTGTGTTGTGAACAAATATGGAGGGAAATGGGGGATCTGATTGTTGATGTGTGATTCAAGTTGTGAGGTTGTTGTCTTCTAATAATTATGTATGTGTTGGCTGTTCATTTTTAGTGTTCAAGATTAAATTTTGTTTGCCTCTATTCTAGCTTTACCTATCAGCTTATGAACTTCATTCCACCAAGGTTTCAAAGTGACATGCTTGTGTTGCCAAGAAATTTTTGTTCTTTTATTTGAGAATCAATCAAATTTGATTATTCTTAATTATGCTGAGGATCCATGATTAACTTTGTGTGGAGGCGATCGATTCTTTCCTTGATGAAATTGTAGATTCATCTGAAAAATGTTAATGGTCAAAGTCTGTGTCAAAAGTCACAAATAAGCCATCTAAGGCTTTGCGACAAGAATGTGCTAGCTTTTTCTGTGTCTTTATAATCGTGTCTCAGAATTTCTTAGGAGATGATTGTAAAAAAATAAATGGAAATGCTTGGAAAAACATTTGTTTGAATCGTAAATTGCTGAGAAGTTAGAGCAAAATACATTATTCAGCATTCTTTAATGGTTCTTCTTTACCTTCAGAGAAAGGTTAGAGCTGAGTAGCTGCTGCATCATCCCTGAAAATGATGTTTTGGACAGATACCAGAATATAAAATAGAAGCCATAATTCACTTGAGATTCATGCAATCCTATTAGAGTCAATAACAAATCACTAGTTCGTTTGTCTTTCCTTTCCTTTTTCTTTTCTTTTTGTCTTATTGGAAAGCTTAAACAAGAAGGTAGATAAGAAATTGTAAGTATTGCATTAAAGATTCATAGTAATTGCCCAGGATGTGGATATTGGTAGGAGTATCGTTTGTATGTGAGATAGAATGGCAAGTTTACAGCTGACCATAGTTTTAAGTCGTTGATGCGGTTGTAAAAACAAATTGCAGTCAAGGATATGATTTATCGTGATAGTAAAATAACAGTCATGACAAATGATGTCGTAAATACTTTAGTAGCTATTGATAAATTTATTCTAAAATAAAAAATCAAAAGTTTATTATTATTATTATTATTTGAAAAATAATATAACGACCGGTATTTGGATCATTATTTACCAAAAAACAACAATAATGATCGTTACCGTTATATAACGTGTTATTGCTGGTATTGTGTGAATCAGAATTATACTGTGTATAATGACAGAAAAAACAGTAAAAGCTTTGGCTGATTCCGTTGGAATTTAGCCTAACTTGGGACTGGCAATTTTGTTAGGTAGGAAATAAATATCTAATAATGGTGTCACCTAGAAAACAGATCCAAGTAAAGTATAAAGGAAAACCTACTATGGTAGCCTTTATCCCTGTTAATTTCGTGTCCTGAAGCTCTCAATATCTTATCTTTAAGCTTTACCTCAGTAACCATTGAATAATCACATATTGCTTATCGTTTTCTACCCAATTTTTCTAATATATATGTTGTAACAGATTCTAAAATCTTTACTTTGGTGTCATCATTTGTCTTGGTCAAGTTGAAGAGAAGTTTCATAGAGCTTGCAGATGGTAAATTATGTAGACAACAATTGCAAAATATCCATGCTGATGGTGGTTTGGAGTGGCCTAACTCTCAAGCAAAGAACTCACTGGCTAGTAAAAAAATATTTTATTCATAAAGGAAGAGCTCATACTGATTTACAAGAAACATCGATGCAGTGGCGTTATATAAGAAGAGAATGAGCTCTGAAAATCATCAAGCACCAACGTTACAACTCCCTAGAAAAGTAAAAGAGCCATGGCTGAAGGGGTAGTGACCTTTTTACTCACGAAGCTTGCAGACTTCCTCCTAGATAAGGAGAAGTTGGCAGAAGTGAAGGATGAAGCTGAGTATGTTAGTGACGAACTCGAGTTCATGACGGCCTTCCTAAGACTTGCAGATGCAATGGAAGACACTGATTCTGCACTCAAATTGCTGATCAAGAAAGTGAGAGATGTGGCTTATGACACAGAGGACTCTCTTGATGAATTCAGGCTGTGCCTTGCCAATGATAATGGGCATGGTGTTTTTTCCTGTTTCAGGAAAATTTGTCGCTCTATTAAAGATGCTAGAGCTCGGCGTCGAATTGCTTCAAAAATTCAAGGCATCAAATCCAGAGTCATCAGTATATCAGAGTCACATCGGAGATACTGTAATAAAAACAACATAATGGTTCATGGATCAAGTTCCAACAGCAGCACTCGGACGGAATGTCGACGGGATGCCCTTCTGGTTGAAGAAGCTGACCTAGTGGGCATTGATAAACCCAAAACGCAGCTGATCGAGAGGCTTCTTGGGACCAAATCTAGACGTGAAGTGGTTTCAGTGGTGGGCATGGGAGGGTTGGGGAAGACAACCTTGGTGAAAAGGGTCTATGATGATCCAGATGTGAAGAAACATTTCAAGTTCCGTGCTTGGATCACTGTTTCTCAATCTTACAAGACAGAGGACCTGCTGAAACACATGATTCAACAACTCTTTCGTGTTCTTCGAAAACCTGATCCCCGAAAACCAGATCCCCATGGCGTGGACGGGATGGAATATGATATGCTCATGACGATAATCAATAGCTTCCTTCAGCAAAGGAAGTACCTGATTGTCTTGGATGATGTGTGGCACATCGATGCCTGGGATGCTTTCAAACACGCTTTACCAAACAATAACCATGGAAGTCGTGTACTGCTCACAACACGTAACAGTGGAGTTGCCTCTGTCTGCTGCATGGAATTCCCCAAAAATGTCTATCCTTTGAATCCATTATCTCCCGAAGAGTCCCATGCCTTATTCTGCAAGAAGATATTTGACAAGAGCTGCTGTCCTCGACATTTGAAGAAAGTTGCAGAAAAAATACTGGGCAGATGTGAGGGATTGCCACTGGCAATTGTAGCAATCAGTGGTGTCCTAGCAACAAAGGATAAGAGCGGAATAGATGAGTGGGAAATGGTTCATCGTAGCCTTGGCGCTGAACTGGAAGACAACAACAAATTGAAGAGTATATTGTCACTCAGTTACAATGATTTGCCGTACTATCTAAAATCATGTTTGTTGTACTTCAGCATCTTTCCTAAGGGGAACCCAATTGAGCGTATGAGGCTTGTACGGCTGTGGATAGCAGAAGGATTTGTGATAGAAAAAGGAGGAACGACGATAGAAGAAGTTGCCGGAGGATACCTCAACGAGCTCTTGAAGAGAAGCTTGGTTCAAGTTGAAGAATCAACAAGCTATGGCCGAGTCAAAACATACCGCATTCATGATGTTCTGCAAGAGAGTATCATTTCAAAGGCAAGAGATCAAGAGTTTGTAGCTGTGGCCAAGGAAACATGTACAGTGTGGCCTGAAAAAGTCCGCCGTGTATCGATACATAACGCCCCTCAACACATACAAAACATTCATATGTCCTCGAGACTTCGGTCCCTGCTCATGTTTTGGGGGGTAGATTCTCTATCTGAGTCCTTTAAGATCAATCTGTCTTCTGGTGGTTTAAGGCTTCTGAACGTGTTGGATCTGCAAGGTGCACCTTTAAAGGAATTTCCAAATGAAGTGGTCAACCTATTCCTTTTGAAGTACCTAAGTTTAAGGTATACCAAGGTGCATTCCATTCCGAACTCCATCGGAAACTTGCAGAATCTTGAGACTTTGGATCTGAAGCATTCTCATGTCACTGAATTGCCTGTAGGGATCCTAAAGCTCCAAAAACTTCGTCATCTGCTGGTATATCGTTATCAGAGAGAACATGATAATCCTATTCACACTAAATATGGTTTTAAAGCACCAGTCAAAATTGGATGTCTGCAGTCTGTACAAAAGCTTTGCTTCATAGAGGCAAAGCATGGCATTCGCCTGTTGATGGAGCTGGGCAAGCTCAATCAGCTGAGGAGGTTAGGCATTGTCAAGTTGAGGAAGGAACATGGGAAGGCTTTGTGCTCTTCGATTGAAAATTTGGGGAACCTTCGTGCATTATCTGTCACTTCAACAAAAGAGAACGAGATCATCGACATGCAATACTTGTCCTCCCCTCCTCCATTTCTTCAACAGCTATACTTGACAGGACGGCTAGAGAAGCTGCCAGAGTGGATATCTTCTCTTCATTTCTTGGTCAAGTTAGTTCTGAAGTGGACTGGGTTACATGATGATCCTCTAGTCTCTCTTCAACATTTGCCCAATTTAGTACATCTGGAATTTGTACAGGTTTACGCCGGAGAGAGATTGTGTTTCAAGCGTGGAGGGTTCCAAAGACTTAGGATTTTGGGTCTAAACAAATTAAACAGACTCAAATCAATAACTGTGCAAAAGGGAGGAATGCCTTGCCTCCAAACGCTTATTGTCCATGGCTGTAGATTGCTGCAGAGAGTGCCGTTTGGCATTCAACACTTGCCCGAGCTAAAAGTGCTGGACTTTGTTGATATGCCTGATGATTTCATCAAGAGACTACGTCTGGATGGAGAAGGAGGAGATTATCTGAAGATCCGAAACATTCCGGAGGTTTACTGCACCCACCAGATAAATGGTAACTGGGAGGCCTGCTCGGTGGAATCCTTTGGTTTCATGAATGGTGAAAATTCTCCTAGCCCAAACACTCGCATGAAAAGGAGCATATATAATTGGAAACCATGATTAGTTTGATGTGTGCTGTTGCAAATTAAATCATGATTGCAAGTACTTGTTTGTAAATTTGAATAGGGATTGTAAATACTTTTGAATTCCCACTATCTATAAATAACTAGCCATAATTATCCTTGGTAGTACGAGGCTCGGTCTGATTTGGCTTAACAGACAGCTCGATAGTCAGCTGAAGGTTAAGCGTGTTCCGACGCTGGCTTAGTTCAGAACGTGATGGACTTGTCTTGGTTGATGCGAAAAACTGATCGGAGGACACCCTACCATGTGTGAAAATCAAAAGAAAAAAAAAATTGTAAATACTTGTATATGGACCAAATACTTGCAAGCAATCAGTTGCTACGGTACTTCTTCACAAGTTTGTGGTATTGGAAAACGTTTGTGTCTAGTAATTTATATTGCCATGCATGTAATTTCTTTCTTGTTTGACGTGTGGCCATTAGATAGTGCAGGTTGCAAGCAGGGACTGTCTTTCTAAGCGAAACTGCACACAATTTGCAGAGACGAAGAAGCAAGCTTGGCTTGGACGAAGAGGGGTTGTTCCAAGTTGCAAGTTGCAAGACTAAATTGGTTTACTCTCACTTGGACAGATTTGGTCAAAAGACTCTTGCACATCCATGAAACTGTCACTTGGACAGAGATCATAGTCATATCTTCTTATATTTTTCGATCAACATCAAAAGAGGAAGAGAAACTACAAGGGCTGGGTAACTTTTCTTTTGGTGTTCCTCCCTCGAGGCTATGATGATTTTTCACCTGGTAAAGTCAAAACAGAACTTGGCCACATTAAGATCAATTCAAAATCAGCAGGGATGAAAAAAAAAAAAAAAAAAAAAAACTGTCTTTGACTTGCTAAATTAGAAATTCGATTCTCATTCTTAGAAAGCTTTTTCCTTTCTTTGTATAGCATTAAACGTTGACTGCTGATGGATTCAAATGAGGTCACCTTGGAGAATAAATTTTAACCAACTTGAATCTTCTTGTTTACTGGAGAAGATAAAGAACGTAATGTGCTCAGAAGGATCTTTCTCCTTAGGTTAGGATTAGGGTTGTGGTGACCGGTGATATTATATTATATAATTTTAGGGTAAGATATGACCATTTTAAAATAAACTAATTATTTGAACTTTAATTCTCTTTCATTTTTAATTTTTAAGAATTTTTCTTTTCACTTTTATCTTATCTTTTTTTTAAAAAAAATAATAATTAGAATTATTAATTCATTCTTAGTCATTGGTGTCATATTTTAGGCATGTAATTTTCTTTGATTAATTTTCAAGAATTTGCCTTTTCACTTATATTTTTTTATTTTTAACCATTTTTGTTTTCTGATAATTAAAGCTCATCCTTTTCAAGAAAGGGTGGCTGAGGTGTGGATAACCTCAAGGATTTAGTTTCAGATTTAGTCTTGGTCTCCGAAAGATGGCTCGAGAATAACCTAATCATAGAAATAAATAGATAAATAAAATCATGCTAATTTTCTGTATTCTTATGATCCTAAATTAATAGAGCAACTTTTCTTTATTGATATTAAGACATTTAAACGATGTTTAGAAGTCAATTTCAAGTTTAAGAAAAATCATTTTTTTCAGAGTAGCTTGAGAGAACAAGTTTATCAGAATTATAAGGAAAAAACAGAAGATTAATCAAGGTCGATGGTGGCTGTGGAAGATACTTTCTGGACCCACAAAGTCTTCCTAAGAGGAATTAAACAGTTATTCTAGTTTTAATAACTAATTATTTAATTTTTATATTTTTAAATCTATTTATAATCTAATCATTTTTGTTATTTTTCAATTTTTAATAAATAAAAAAGTAAAAAAAATTGAAAATTTTGATAAGAAAATAAGATTTTTTTAAAAAAATTAATATTAAATTAATCATAGTCAATATGTTTTAAGAAACTAATTAATTAGCTTTTGAAATAAAAAAGACTATTTAATTTGTTTTCTCTTGTTTTGAGTTTGTTTTCTCCATTTGACTCCAAAAATTTTCTATTAACCAAAATTTTCTAAGATTTTCTAGATGAGCCAGATATACATATCAAAAAAAATAAATAAATAAGAGAAACAAATTTAGTCAAATCTAACTAGTTCATGCATCAGAATAGCTCTTGACGGGTTGATTCAGATGTTAAGAAAAACGATTTATTTAGTTTGAAAGTTTAAAATTCAAGTTTGATATTAACAAAAGATATAATATCTCCATTCGATAGTTTTATTTGAAAAAATATTTTAAATTTTAATCTCGATGCGATAAGATATCTTGTCTCAATATAAATGTCATGAAAATCACTTTAAATATATTTAAATTTAAAAAGCACAATATTCTATATTAAACTTATAATCAATGTATTTGTACATTTATTTATGATCCATTCATTCATCTACTTAAGACTAAACTATAAGAGATCAAAAGTAATGGTTTTTGCAAGTTCGAGGACTTTCGTTGAAAGATTAAAAAAAAAAAAAACAATCACGTGAATCAGATTAAATTATAAACTAGTCCCTTTATGTTTCCAAAACTAATTGAATGATTCTTCTTATTTCAAAAACTAATTAAGTAGTTTCTTGACAAGTGCATATTTTACCTATTTTTTTATTTATTAAAATAAAAAAGAAAATAAATTTAAAAAGATTATGTTATAAATAAATTTTAAATTACAAGGACTAGTTCATTAGTTTTTAAAACTAAAAAGACTATTTAGTTCTTTGAAAAACTAAAGGGACTAATTTATAATTTACTCATCAAGCCGATTCAAGCGACTATAAAAGGAAGAGTTTCCAATACGGTGGCACATGAAGATGGAAGATAATTTTGCTTTGTCAAAATGGGAATATATCAAATTATAGATTTCATCAAATCTCTACCGTCAATACATATTTTCCCAAAATGTCTCAACGTCCAAGAATGTAAGAACAAGCCCTATTTATATATATATATATATATATATATATATATATATATATATATATATATATATATTTTTCCTCGGTCCGATCTTGGTCGTAGGAAGATTCAACCATTGATCACATTCAAACAATCTGACGGCTATAAATAAAAACAGGCATCGCATAGTCCCATGGCAGCAACCTCATCACAAACTTTCTCCATTTTGAGCAGACAAAAACCTCGTAATAATATTCCCATAATCATCACAAAGCCCCACGTGGTATTTCCATCCAAGAAACCAAATACGTACAGCAACGGTTCTGTGGTTACTCGCACAGACTTCAAGAGATTCGTCTGCTGCTGTAAAACAAAGGCTTCCTCGTTCATGGCTGATCAGAGTAACAAGAAGGTGGTGGAGGTGTATGACACAGAGGAGGATGTGGCTGTTTCTTTGGCCAAATATGTTGCCGATTTGTCGGCTAAGTTTTCTAAAGAAAGAGGGTATTTCACTGTTGTTTTGTCTGGTGGTTACCTCATTGACAACATCAGGTTAGTTACTGATCACTCACTGGATTTGATTATTTTCTGATTTGGAATGTTGCCGAAAATGTCTAGGCTACAGTACAGCAGGGCACCCTTTGTGTTTTTTGAGTCCCTGTGATTTAGTTCTTTGGGGCCGAGGCTAGTTTTTGTGTATCAAGACTAAATCTGCCTTTCTGGTCGAGTAAAAAAGACTGGGAATTTATGTTCCAATTAGGGGATTTTGATCTAGCTAGCTGGTGAAATTGTACGGAATTTGGCAGTTGATGATGTTCTTTAATGGGTTGGGATCTTTGTTTTTTGCAGGAAATTAGCAGAGCCGCCGTATGTTGATTCGGTGGAGTGGTCGAAATGGCATGTTTTCTGGGTGGATGAGAGAGTTGTTCCTAAGAATCATGTTGACAGTAACTACAAGCTTGCTTTTGATGGATTTCTCTCAAAGGTGATAACATTTTGTTGTTGAATTAGTGGTCATACATTTGATGGTTTTGCCTAGAGATTAACTGAAGAATTGATTTAAATAGTGTTATCCTTTCTTTGTCTGTAGTTGTTATAGCCCCTGTTTTTGCGAAAGTAAAGACAATTTTTTGTACAGAAGTAAGAAAAAGTGCTAGGAAACAATCTAGAATGGGAATATTGAAGAAAAGGGGAAAAGCTTGTCTGGTTATTGTTTTAGTTATTTTGCAGAAAGAAGAGAAATATAATGATGATTGATATGTGAACAAAGATATGTAAATAGCTAAATATTTTTTAAGCAACGCCTTGTTAAAGTGGGTTAATCTTGTTATCGAGCTGATTGATGCTGAGTTTGGAATGATTGTTATTGCTCATTTTCTGAAGTGTTCTTTAGTTTTGATGTTATCATAGCGGATTTCTTCTGGTGGGTATGAAAGAAAATCTTCGATTTTTATGCCATGGATGTTCAAAAAGGCAGTATTTATGATTTAATACATTTACAGGCCGAGTCTTTTGTTCATGCTTATTCCACTTCTAGTGGTGCTGGTTTCTGTCATTTTTTAATCAGATATACCTTCTCTTCTTCCATATTTTTGGTAGGTACCGATTCCCCCTGGTAACGTTTATGCCATCAATGATGCCCTCTCAGCTGAAGGTGCAGCTGAGGATTATCAAACCTGTCTCAAGCATTTGGTTGATATTGGGGTGTTAGCCAAATCATCAGTGACTGGGTTCCCAAAGTTCGATCTCATGCTTCTGGGGATGGGTCCAGATGGACATGTAGCTTCTCTGTTCCCTGGGCATCCACTCGTTAAGGAAAATCAGAAATGGGTTACTCACATCCTAGACTCACCAAAACCACCTCCACAGAGGATTACCTTTACCTTTCCTGTCATCAATTCGTCTGCATATATTGCTATGGTGGTCTGCGGTCCTGGAGAAGCCACTTCAGTGCACAATGCGTTGGGAAAGACTGAAAATCCCGAATTGCTGCCTGCTCAGAGGGTTACACCAGAAGTGGAATTGAAGTGGTTTTTGGACAAAGCTGCAGCTTCAAAGCTGCAGGAGTGAAATGTTCTACTGCCTTTGTGAGTTCACCCTTACAATAAATAAGACTACTTGCTACTTGCTTGTTGTTCTTGCGTCTGTTTCGTTGACGTTGATCAGTCCATTTACTAGTGGCTGTTGTAATCTAATCTTAGTTACAGTTGAGGAACAGTGGGGATTGCCTTCTTGGTGGCCACTACCAAAAGTTTGATGTAATATTGTTTGAAGCTTCATGTGTTTTTAGCTAAAAAAAAGTCTTCTTTAGCTTTCCATTTTTCTTGCCTTTCCTCCATTTGTTACCATTCAGCTGCTTCCTTTTCCTCCCTAATGCATTCAAGATCACCATTTTGCTCTTTTAAGCTTACTTCCTGATTCCTGTAATGTATCTAATCTCCGTTTGGAGACCATTTAGTTGTATGTATATTGCTTCCTTTTGGAGCAGATCAGCGGCCGGAAATTGTTGGGAAAATTGTCCCAAGTCAAGGAGAAATTGGTACGTAGCCGATTTTTTTCTCTAGGAAATTTTTATTTATTTATTTAGCAATAAGGATATACTCGGATCAGTTTTTTTTTTCATATTATTATAGTAGAGAAGGAAGAAGCAAAATAATTATTTTTTTAAAATATTAAATATGACACTGTAGAACCCAATGCATCTTAATCTTGTAAGATACCTTGACTTGAACAGGATGTTGAAGAGCTTTAGGTGTTGGATGAAAGTTGTGTTTAGGTTAATAGTTATATCTATTTTTATATAATAAAGTAAATTTTTAATGTCTTAATATTTTTATTGAGTTAATTTTATTCTTGAATATGATATAAGTTTTCAATTTATACTTAGCTAAATGAGTTAAACATATCCTGAATTTTAAATCATTTAAAATTGAGTCCTTAAACTTCAAATTTAGTTTTTGAGACCGTTAAACTTTTAATTTTTTAAAATTTAGTCAATTCTTTAGTTTTTTGTCATTTATCCTAAAAAATAACAACTAAATAAATAACTTTATAGTGAAAATTATTCAGTATGATTTATATGAGGCTTCTTAAAATATTTAGGATATTAATCTATTAAGATTAGAACTCGTGACCTCATGTTATAGGAAACTAATACCATTGGGCTACATGCTCTTTAGTTATATATATTTAGTATTTAAAAAATAAACAAATATACTTTTTGATTTTGAAAAATTCTAGGAACGTGTGTGTGCAAAACTTCACCTCAAAATACAAAGAATTGAGTTTTTTTTTATAAGAGATGATGATAGCTAAAAATCATTAGATGGATTGAATCTCAAAAAAATTAAAAATTCGGGGTTTCTAAAGACTAAATTTGAAGTTCGAAACTCGATTTCAAATGAGTTGAAGTTTAAGTGAGATTTGATCCATTTAGCCTTTATACTTTCATCAAGATTTTTAGATAAAACTATTAGAATTATTTACCTAATTTGTATATGACTATTTTTTATTTTCAAAATACATTTACAAGTCAGTCAAATAAAAAACTTTTATGTTCAAACCATGTAATTATTTTAGTAGTTTAACCTCAAAATCTTACAAAAAAAGATAGATTAGATGCTTAATATATATTAAAATATAAAATTAATTCAATTATAATTATAAGAACAGATTAAAAAATTAAATTAAACTACTAACCTTTTGCGTCCCTTGGGGAGAAGAATTACAAAAGCATCTTAGAGAGGCTAATCTAGCACCCATGATTTAATCTGTTTTCAGACCAAAATAGTTAGGCATGATAGATTCGAACATGTTGTCTGTTAAGTACTTCTTAATTTGCTAAGATTGCAAGTAGTTACCTTCTCAATTGCTAATGGCAGCTAAAGAAAAACAAGACACTTTGATTTGTAAACATTAGATCGAAACAAAAGATAAGAGGAACATCAATATGTAAACTGGTATGAAAGTACTCCTAGACATCAAAATGGTCCCAAAATAGACTCAGGTAGACCATGAAAAATGGAACTCGAGGAGGCATGGTTTATGTGACACCCTTGTCGTTGTCTCATGGAAAGTAGAGCTCACTTTGGACCTCATCTATGCTCTCGAATCTCTTTTATGATTGTTACAGATGATTGACAGAAAGTTGAAAGTATAGGGCACAGTGCTAGATAGATAGGTGTAAGGGCCAACATTTTGATGGACGATGTTAAAGATGATCTGTAGTGTTCATGTGGAGAACAGGTTATCGATCGCATCCCATGCATGCAAAGAGACTTCTTTCATGTTCATGTTTTTGTCTCCGTTTCTTTTTTTCTTTTTTTAGCTGTCGTGTCATACAGAGATAGGTAGTCGATATCATATGAAAGTCTTGTGATGCGTGATCTTTTTTTAGCTCATCTTTTGAGATCTATCGAGTAATTTGAATTTCGAAATCTTTACTCGAACCATTAGATCTTTTTGAGGCTCCGATAACATATAGAATTATATAGTTGAGATTGAGTTTTATTCAAAAGATTTAAGTTTTATAATGAGTAATTCTTTCACAACTTTATATATTATTCATTATTGATTTAACTATTTAACGTGAGATATATGATCATTTCCCCTTGTTTCGGAATTCCACTTCTTCATAGAGGCCCAAAATGTAAGAAAGTAAAAGTCCAGGCTCTTGAATCTCGTCCATGATTGTTATAGATGATTGACAAAAAGTTGAAAGTGTAGGGAACAATGCTAGGTAGATAGGTGTAAGGGCCAACATTTTGATGGACAATGTCAAAGACGATATGTAGGGTTCATGTGGAGAACAGTTTATCGCATCCCATGCAAGCAAGAGATCTCTTTCATGTTCATGTTCTTGTCTGCATTTTCTTGCTGCCTGTGCCTACACATGCTCGTATGATCATTTCCCCTTGTTTTTGGAATTCCACATCTTTATCGAGGCCCAAAATGTAAGAAAGTAAAAAGTCAAGGGAAGATAGAGAGGGTAAAAAAGAAGAGAAAAGAAAAAGTAAAGTTAAGCTAGCTATAGTCCTTTTGTCCCTCCCAAATCCCAATTCGTTATTGCTTCAGTCCATCTCAATTTCATAATTAGCTTTCAACCTCAGTTTAGTCCCCTAACTTTTTATCAGTTTTCACTTAGATCCCTAAACTAAATTCTTTCTTGATTAGATTCCTAAAGTATTAGACATTCCTCAACGGAATCCCTCCTTCCATGTCTGTTAATATTTTCCCAAAGACACTTTGATGCTTTTGGCTAAACAAAGTTTTTATTTAAAATTAATAAGTATTATCGAACCAGTTTATACGTTAATCGATATTGTTTTTTTTTTCAAATAATTTTAAAAACGCTATTTTCACATGGATATGGTAAATTCAGAGAAATTAAATAAAAATTTTCTAAATATTGGACTCAAAATTTGAATCAACTTACATAGTTTTTCAATATAATACATTAATAAAGGAAATTCATTAAAATAAAGTAACACGTTAGAGATGAAAAAAAAAACACCCAAAATCAAAGTTCATTGACCAACTAACAATGATTCTCACGTTAAAAGATCATTGTCATCGACACTTCAGTTGCTGTCTAATCTTTCATCTCCTTTTTTCCCCCTCTTTCTCTTTATTATTCTTTTCTTGTCCAAAATCACTGCGCCTGCTTTTGTTGACTGTTCATATCCTCTTAGTTTCTTTTCTTCTTGTTTCCTCTTCTACAAGCTAAGTTCCATGAATTTTTTGTCTTAGGGTAGGCAAGCTAGTTAAGGTTGGTTGTTGGTTAACAAAGGGATAAGGTGCGATTCCTATCAAAGCATTGCAAGAGTCAAAACCTCACTAAAAACAACCATTAGCTTGGGCAAACATCTTTTCTACATTTTGGATCGTGATGAGTAATTTTTCATTATTTGAAATTTCTAGCTACAAATCATTTGAGTTTTTAAATGATTAAATCGACAAAGAGTCACTTTAATTTTTTTTTCCCTTTTAAGATGTTCGGAGATATGCATTTTTTTTAAAATTTCAAACCGTTACGATTAGTCTTTTACTATTTAAAATTTCTCGTTATAAATTGTTTTAGTTTTTAAATAATTAAATCAATACAAAATGCTTTAATTGATTTTTTTAGATATTCGGAGATAAATTTAATTGAATCGAACCGAGATTTAAACCTATGTGATAACTAGGGTTAAGCTTTAGCTAAAAAAACATAAGAATCTACTCATAGAATGAAAATGTGGTTCCTCCACAGAACTTTTGACTAAGCTAGTTTTAGCACAATATGCTTGGCCAAGCAAAAGCAAACAATTCTCCTTTCTTTTTCTTTTTTTGAGAAGGACTGCAAAGCAAACACTTTTCTTATAATCTGCCTCTCTTTTTTTTTTTTTTTCTTTCTCAGCATGTCCAAGAGAAACCCACTATCCAGACATAATCATGATCAATGTCTAATCAATCCATTTTGACTGTGTTTGACCCTTTGTTTTTCAATTGACAAAGGTGTCCAAGCATCCATGATCATGCTAATTAGCACTAATTACTTGTTGACCTAAGGCAGTGAGAATTAATGATAGATGGGGCATGCTCCAAGCACTAATCTTTCCTTCTATTTTGATGACAAATTACTGTGTGGGCATGGCTTTCGGGCTTGAGGGTAATTAGCAAATGAACTAAATTACTTAATCACATCTTCAACTTTACTCATCCTCGTCATTGACTTGTTCAATTAAAAAAAAATCACCAAATAAACAGAGCTATAACTTGAATTTCAAGCAAAAAAAATTGTGAATTTCAAGGTTGAAAAACACTGTTAAAGAAGGTTGGAAAAATCTTTTTTTTTTTATTAACAAGTGGAGCATAAAACAAGAGAAACATTGCATTAATTGTACCAATGCAACAATGGCGAGGGAATTAAATACTGGTGAAATACTTGAAATGGCCAGAACTTAAGGTTTTACCAAACTTTTACACAGCATTCTCTTTTTTCTTTTTTGGTTAACGGTAAAAGACATCTTGGATAGTTAAGGACACTTCATGAAAGTTCATGCATGCGTTTCGCAATGCCATTTCTGTCCCACGCAAATGGATATTAATTAAGTTTTCCATGTGGGTCGGTTTTCTTGGTTGGAAGGTTTGTTTGGCTTTATGCCATTAGAATATGGGATATGCGTTCTTTTTTTCCTTTCCTTGAACTCTCTCTCTCATTCATCCAAAATTCGGATGCGAGTCTCCAACTTAGAAATCTGAAAAAATTAACTAAAACAATATCCTTTTCGAGGCACATTTTGCAAATCCAATAGGCTTCTAAACTTAATTTAATCTTATCTTTAAAGTTAAACTTATTTTATTGATAACCGGACATGATATATGTTGCATTCTCACGAAACTATAATGTTAATCTAACGATATATTAATATGTTTATATTGTTATAGTATCACGAAACTATAAGATTAATCGAACGATATATTAATATGTTTATATTAAAAATATCTCCGATGTGATTACCAATAAATTAACATCGTGTTTGTTGTATCGGTAAATATATCGATAAGATAAATCGATATATTGACATATTTATTTATTTATGTTAACATGGATTTTAAAGAACATGACTTAATTGAAAGTTCTCCTTCGATCCTCTACTATCTCTTGAAGTTAGTAAGACAATGTTCACGCACAATACACACCTTAATGATTGATGGTTACTAATTCGATTGACTTTGTTACTTGAATAAATACTTTGTTGAAATTATAGGTTCCAACTTTATCTTATCTCACGTTTATGACCAAGGGCATGCTATTTCCAAGCATCAAATCCTTGAGGTTGACTAAGTAAAATTGGGTTGTTAGAATCACGTGAAGGTTAATTTGAAAAAAGTAAAATCATATAAATAAAAAATACTTAATCGCATAATCTTAATATATATTAAGATTTAAACTCGTAATTTTTTGTTACAAAAGATCATTATTACTGAGTTACGAGTTATTTAGTTAGATATAAGAATATTCCAATAGCAAAAACCAAGAGAAATGTTCAAAAGCATCGAAACAATAGGTTAGGTGGTTAATTACACTCCTAGTCACCAATAATATTCCTCCTAATCTCCTAAAATTTGTGATACACCATTAGCCAGTGATTAACTTTGGGAAGGAATCATACCCTTAGGTATTATATAGGTCGGTGGTAAATAAATATAACAAGATAAGATTATTAATTGACAATACAATAAAACAAAGATTTGATTTTTCTTAAATATAAAATAATAGAAATAAATTAGACACAATCAAATCAAATTATCATATGCATTAAAAATAAATAAATAAAATAAAGGTCCAACCTTTTTGAGAGAAGACCAAGGCCAGTGGTTCGCTAGCTTATCTTAGACTATCGCCTCCTTCACCCCATCCTCGTTATTATTTACATTAGATTCTTATATTTTAGAGTTAACTACAACCTAGTCCCTTTATTTTATTAAAACTAATTAATCAATCCTTCAAGTGTGAAAATCATTAAATAATCCTTTGATCACTGTTGATGATCATTTTTTTGAAGTTAGTATTTCTTCTATTATAAAGAGATTGTTTTAATTTAAATAGATACGGTATGAAATAACGAAACTCCTAAAGTATTTAGTTTTTTTTTCAGTATTTATAAATTAATTTCTACTAAATTAACCTTTCAGATTAAATTAAAAAATATACTATTCACATCAAAACTATAGAATTCATGAGATTTTACCCCTTTCAGCTTGACCTCAGGTTTGAATCCTGATGGCTAAGCAAGAAGCAGTCCCAAGCCAAATACTTTACTTCAAGCTAATAATTACAAAAAATAGGGGTTAATTATTAAATTTTAAAAAATCAGTACTAATTAAATAGTCATGTTAAACTATAGGGACTAAATTATGATTAATTCTTTATTTTAATCCCCTTTCCTCTCCCTCTCTCTCTCCACTATCAGGGTCTATAGACAGACAAAACAAAAGCACTTCCATCTCTCTCTAACAATTAAGAGTTAAAATTCAAAAACCCATAAAAAACAATTTATTTTCCTAGCTTCTCCGCTCAGTCAAGCGGCTCGGTCTTGAGAAAATCGGAAACACAGAAGCAAGAAGCAGCAGCAAAGAGAACTAGAAGGAAGAAAGCTCATTCCGGTAGCTTCACAGATCCCTCTGCGGTCTCCCTCTCGATGTTAATCAACATCAACCACAGTCCAAACGGCGGAATCCAGCTCTCCGGTGGCGGCGGCGGTGGATTCTGGTGGGGAGTTTTGCTGGCGGAGCCGCCGTCGAGAACAACTGTTGCTTTCACTGCTCTAGCCGGAATCGTGGTATTCGCCGCCCTATTCTACACTACCAGTAGGTAATAATTCTAGAAGAGCAAAAAAAATAAAAAAATCCCTATTTTATTTAAAAGGAGAGTGAAATTATTAAGTAGATGAAAGCTCTAAAACGAAGTCAAACTTCGTCGTCTTCGTCAAACTCATCTTCTCCTCCGTCGTCGTCGTCAAGTTCAACGTCTTCATCGTGGATTCATTTGCGTTCGGTTCTCTTTATTGTTAATTCCTCCTCACCGGCTTATTGTTCCTCCTCTTCCTCTTCTGATCGGTGAGTCCTCGTCTCCTCTCTGAGATAATACTCTCTCTTACTCTTTCTTGATGATTCTAGTGATTTTGTTCTCTTTTTCTTTTGCTTTGTTCAGATCCGATCTTGAAGGAATATTAAGTGTAGATCGTGTTTTCAGTCTCTACTCTCTACTACTACTACTACTTCTCAGTCCACTTGTTCTTTTCCCTTCATTTTTTCAGTTTTTTACTTCTTAGATGGAATGTGTGTGGCTTTGGCTTGGTCAATTTAAGCAACTCTTAAAATTTTCTGTTTTTTCTGATTTTTATGGAATTTTTCGAGATGGGTTTTGTTAATTTAATGCATGACTTGTTTTTTTAGGGAAAATGGTTTTGATTATTGAGTTGAAAATAGAAGATTTGTTTGTTTTTGCATTACATTTTGGGAATTAGGGTATGGATATAACTATATCTTACAGCAGGCCTCTCCCATTAAATTATTTATGAAGTTTCTTGCAAAAAAATTAATTTATTTGAGTTAGAGATGAGTGCTCTTACAAATTCTTTTCTATTTTTTCTTCAAAAATGGGAAACTACCAAAAAAGTGAGCTGCTTGCTGGTGCCCTTTCACTTTCAAATTTTTCTTTTTGCTGGAATTTGATCATGATTGTTCTTTTATTGCAGGGGCCGGCTCAAGTCACCATGGTCTCGGAGGAAGAGAAAACATGCCCTTACTCCTAGGCAATGGAAAAGTTTGTTTACACCGGATGGGAAACTCCGTGATGGCGGAGTTAAGTTTTTGAAGAAAGTTCGAAGCGGGGTGAGTAATCGTTGCAATTACAATGTGTTTTTTGATAAGCCAGTATTATGTATTTTTAATCTATTATTTTTCTTCCGCAGGGTATTGATCCGAGTATTAGATCTGAGGTCTGGCCGTTCCTCCTTGGAGTGTAAGCATATTGAACCTTGTTTTAGTGTTATACATAATTTTTTTGCTTCTGCTGCTGTCTCATCTCTTAGGATAGACCCTTAATGTTTTCTTCTGAACTTCGTGGATGGTCTGAATTTAGGGGCTGCTGGTCTTTGGCATACCTGGGAAAGGATTTCAATCGTCTTTCCTTCCCCTAAATTCAGACACTATGAATTGGTGTTCAGTTCTGTAGAATCTTGTGTTCCTGCATTTTACATCAGAATCCTTGTGTACTAGTTCCTTCTCATCTACTGAATTCTGGTCAATGATATTTTAAAAATGGTTAGCTTTACCATAGTCCCTCAAGTTATCACTCAATTGAAAAGGAACTTTTAGCTAATTTAGCTGATTTATCGTCCACTGTGGTCCTTCAACCTTTTCATCAATGTTATTGGCCCTTCTGTCCAACATTGTTTGATGTTGTATACCACATTGGCAAAACACGAAAGTTTATGAGAGTTACACAGAAGTACCACAGTAGAATCAAGGAGAAGTTGAAGGACCACAGTAGAGGATTGGTAGCTGAGAGACCTTTTCCTGAAGTTGGTGGTTGGGAGAACATTCCTACATTTCAACAGCAAAGTTGCAAAATTTCTTCTTTCCTACAACATCTCTTTTTCCTATTTATTTATTGGCTTTTATTTTATATCTGTGTTTGAAATCATCGAGCTGGAGCTATTCATTAGTTTGTCAACATCACCATGCCCTCTTTCTCAATGCATTTGGTCCTTGTTCTTTCTTTCTGGAACGTTAGCCTTGAATCTCTTTGGAAAGTAGTGTACTAGCCAACATTGGTTTATCTGTCACATTGTTCTTACATCACCAACATGATGAGTGGTCTTGCTTTCTGTTAACAGATATGACTTGAATAGTACCACCGAAGAAAGAGAGATTATAAAAACCCAGAAAAGGTACTGTCTCCATGCTCAACTTATATATTTCAGACTACTTGTGAGCTATTTTAATCTCAGATAATTTGATTGGTGGTATTTGAGCCCTAAATGTAAAGCCTTTTCTGTCTTCCTTTGATTTCTGTTCTCATGGTCCTTTTCTTAACATTTTTGGCTGCAGAAAGGAATATGAGAAATTTCGCAGACGGTGCCGACGACTTCTCAAACGCAGCAATGAGTGCTCCAAAGGAACCAGTGAAACAAGCTGTATTGAGGACAGCGGAAGTCTTGCTCAAGACTCTGACTGTTCAAGTTATGAAGATGTGGTGAGTGCCAGGGAGTCTCTTTCCAGTGAGGAAAGGAGTCGTGATGTTGAGGACTCTGATGACCCCTCCAGTGCACTGTTGGAAGGTGATGATGGTTCAGGACAAGCCATAAACACTGATGCCTCTGCTCTAAACACCGACTCTTCTGATTCAGACTCTTCTGAAGACCCTGAAGTCATTCAGGCTTCCTCCTCTTCAGAGGGCAGGGAAGAGAATGATCCTGATGTGCCTTTGAAAGAGAACATTTCTCCCTCTAGGACTGAGATCCATCCAAACCAATGCAACAGCGAAAATTTTGCCACATGGCAGCGGATCATTCGTGTTGATGCAGTGCGAGCCAATTCTGAATGGATTCCGTATTCTCCATCGCAGGCAACAGTATCAGAGTGTAGAGCACACCGTGCTGCGGAGGCTGTTGGGTTGAAGGACTATGATCACCTGGAACCTTGCAGAATTTTCCATGCTGCAAGACTAGTTGCTATTCTCGAAGCTTATGCAGTCTATGACCCTGAAATTGGGTATTGCCAGGGCATGAGTGATCTCCTTTCTCCAATAATTGCAGTGGTCACAGAGGATCATGAGGCTTTCTGGTGTTTTGTGGGTTTTATGAGGAAGGCTAGGCATAATTTTAGGCTCGATGAAGTGGGGATCCGAAGGCAACTCAGTATTGTTTCCAAGATTATCAAATGCAAAGACTCCCACCTCTACCGGCACTTGGAGAAGCTCCAGGCTGAGGATTGCTTTTTGTTTATAGGATGGTAGTGGTGCTGTTCAGGAGGGAACTGACATTTGAACAGACAATTTGCCTCTGGGAGGTGATGTGGGCAGATCAGGCAGCAATAAGGGCTGGTATTGGAAAGTCTGCATGGAGCAGGATAAGGCAGCGAGCACCACCAACAGAGGATTTATTGCTTTACGCTATTGCAGCCTCTGTGTTACAGAAAAGGAAACTAATCATAGAGAAATACAGCAGCATGGACGAGATCTTAAGGGAATGCAATAGCATGTCTGGGCACCTTGATGTATGGAAACTCCTTGACGACGCTCATAATCTGGTGGTGAACCTTCATGACAAGATAGAGACACCCTTCTGATGACTGCTTTGCGAGCATTTCGTCACTGATTTATGTGCTTCATTTCTTCTTCTAAGATCTTTTTGTGGGTATTTCCAGCCTCCTTGTGCTCTGCTTGAAACCTGCCCTAAGGAGGTTATCCATCCTCATCAGTGCTGCTAGCTGCTCACTTTCAAGTCTTAGTTGAAGTGGCAAGTGGCATACTTGAAAAGATTTATTCAGCTTTATATGCATTCCACTTAACCATTTTTTGAATACAGAACACTATCATCCTGATCTGTCATATCATATCAAGCAGGTGGGATCTGCATTTGTCGATCAATACACCATATTGAATGAGTAATATCAAGATTTTGATCATTGAATTCCAATTTTTTTTCTTTTTCTAAAAAGGGCCTCTGGTAATAATATGTCAATGGCAAATTCTACCGGAACCACGGTGCTGGTGTCCCTGTTAGTTTTGATAATGTTGCAAATTTGCCGTAAAAGTTTACTCGAATATTCAGACAGCCGCATAGCAATATACCCTTCGAAACTTTTACACTAATTTTGAAATGATTTTCAAACCCATTGCAATGTTTTTTAAGTCTATTTTGCAGAAAAGGTACAATGTCTTCGGCTTAGAAGGCCTCTGTATAACTTGCTCATAGGCTGAAAGTAAGGGTGCTCGCAGTCATATATTCAAATGACGACCGTTACATAATTTAATAGTTGTTATATGGTTTTGGAGTTTTTTGGTTATAGTTATTCAGTAATATAGCTGTTGTTTCACATGGTTTTGAAGTTTTTGTTATCGTTATTCAACATTATAAATATTTTTCATGCGAATAACAGTATTATCGTTATATGATATTATTATTTTTCATCGTATAAAAGCATCATACCAACAGAAAAAAAATTAGCCTTTGCACTTTTCAGCCTACTTGCGAGGTGTTATTAATATCTCTAATCAGTAAAACTACTTAAAATATATAAATTAAAATAAATTTATCAAAAATTATTAATGCATTTACGATATTGGTTAGTATCCTAACTGTTATTTTACTACATTAATAAACCGTTACCCGTGATCACAAACATGATTGTTTTTTCAGTCGTGTTTGTAATTTAAAACTATTTTGCAGCTTCCTCATGAAATTGATAATAATTGACTTAAACAGAGTGGCAGGCGTTCTTTGTTCAGTTTTTAAGCAGGTTGATGCTAAACTATCTTCGACAATCTTGTTAAATTCTTGACTTCGAATCATCGATTTTGCCACTCCTTTGTTGCTTTACATAAAGTTATCATCCCATTAAATCTGGAACAGGGAAAAGAGAGGGCCAGCCACTAGGACGCACCAATCAGGGCAAAATTAGTGCAATTTTTTTCTCAATTTATAATGTGATTGGAGGGAAATGGAAGGGCTTAACTCAGATTGTGGAAATAAATTGGGGAAACTGCTATCATAGTTGATCCTCCCCCTTTTAGCCCAGTATTGCACAGAAGAGGAACTAAAATTCTGCAAATGCTATGCTGCCTTGAAGTTACCTAGAATTAGACATCAAGTGCCTAATGACTGGTGAGGGACCATACTGCAATTTTAATGGTTGGTGGGTCAAAAGCATCAAGGATAATGCTTTGACCCACCAACCATAACTGCATTTTGGTCCTGTTAATATGATGTAAACAAACATTTATGCCTTCACTGGTTTTTCCAAGGGAGAGAAATAATCAGCTAGAGATAGATGGATGGAACAAGTGTAAGAGTTTCGAAAGAAAAATGTCCCTGCTTATCATCCAACAAATCAGACAATGTCCCGTTGCCAGTGGCCAACAGTTCCAACAACACACCAGTGAGCCAATTCTGGACCACTAACTAACTTCGGCACAAACACACTTCAATGAAGGAACTAAACAAAACAGTGTTTTTAAAATTAAACTGATTGACTCCAAAACTAATCCCTCGAAAGGGTAGATCCTGATAAATAATAGCTTCTACTCTTTTTTGGTGTAGCTTCGCACAGCAAGAGCTAAGCCCAAGATCAAGAGCGGCACGAGTAGCTGCAAGATCTTAATCAGAAATTCAGGCTTATCGTCGTTAGGGTTTGATCCTCCCAAACCTGGTGCAACGTACATGCGTTTTGATGGAACAGTTGTTACATCTACCTCACCAATGACATACTTTTCCATCATTTCTCTAGCAGAATCGCTGTGACCCACATCTTCAAAATCGTTTGTTGCATCTTTCCCTGTGAAATTTGGGTTGAATTTCGGTTAGTTGCATGAAAAGTAGGTAGTTGAGAGAGTTCGTATTACATGGTTGAATTTGGGTTTTTTGTACTATTAAGTGAAAGATTTAAGAGGTTCGACAAAACTGATATCGCAATCCTACCTGTTGATGACAGTAAAACTTCATCACCTCCGGGATGATCATCCATGAACGAGGTGACATCATACACCTGAATACATAGCTCAAAATTTCAATAAACAATTAAATAGAAAGCATCCAAGTATAAGTAATGATTTCATAACAAACACACATTGACATTATTTTTTGGTGTCAAAAGGAAAAAAAAATTGAAGAAAGGACACTTATCATCGCGCTATCTCAAACAGTAATTAACACAACTCAGGTTTTCCATGCAAAGAGAAATTATCACTTATCAGTCGGATGTTGCTTTGGGAGTTGCTTAAAAAAAAGGTGAATCGGCCATGTCTACTAGGTTCAGGCATCAATTTCCCTTAATCACCATAGAAGGCATACCAACATGTTTCCCAATAATCCTCACTTGAGAGGTTTGGGTAGGCCATATAGTTTCTCCACTGACCATTTAGCCTTCATTTTGTTTATGCATGGGGAGCTTCATTCAAGATAATAATAAATCTACTGACTTGTAATAACATTATAACTACTAAAGTAAGATTTTGCCAAACATATGGATATTAGCTTCTCCCAAGCCTTTCTTTTCACCCCTTCCATAAGGGAATTATTCAATGCACACTGCAAACATTTATATAGGACCCAACGTTGTTACATTCTATGAGAGGAGGGAGCACTGAAGCATTGCTTTGGTAATTGCCAGGTTCAGAAATTTTCCCTCCGAATAAGAGGGATCACTTGGTTCGTGAAGGCTAAAGCATCATAAAGGAACAGACTTTGCAATAACAAGCATGAAAATAAACTTTCAACATCTTAATCATGCAGTAAACTGATGGCACTCAACTCATACAGATTTAATTTTCAATAAACAAAAAAAAAAAAAACCAAAAGGGGTAAATAAAACTAATCAGAAAAAGTGAAAGTTCCCATCTTGTAATCTCACACTAAATTTTCTAAGCAACCAAACAGAATTTCCCAATTTTTATCTCAAAATCTACCGAAAATTAAAACCTTGAGAAAGAGATCTGACCTTGCCAGAGATGACAAGCCAACAATCCTTGGTTTTGTTGTGCTTGGCAATCTCGTCAAATAAGTAAACCTTTGAAGGAGCCATATCTTTCGCAAATACTAACAAAACCACAAAAAAATTCAAAACCCACAAATATCTACAACCAAAACACTTCAGATTTACACTCAAAAGAACGATCCATATAAAAAATTGAATAAGACCCACTATTATTCACAAAAAAAAACCATTTCAAAAACCAAAAAAGATGATCAAAACAGGTAAAGTGAGATCATGGACTAAAAAAGGACAACATCAAGAATCTATGATGCTTACAGGAGATATGCCTGGTAGTATGCAAGAGATTACCTCTCTCTTTCTCTGTCTCTTGGTGTTTGACGAAACTGAATGCACTAGACTACCTCAGATTATGTTTTATGGTATTTATTGACCTCGAAGAGGTGGCAAGACGACGAATTATGGTTTGGTGGTCTCAATCTCCTCTCCTATCTCAGATGCCGTATTTAGAAATTTTACAGTATTAAAGAAAAAAATAATTAGTGCATTAATTAATTTAATCAAGTATGGAAAATTATCTTATCTAATTTTCTCCATTTTTAGAAAAAATGAAAAATGCTATGAATATTTGCGTGTGCCAGCCACCAGACCACTTGATCAAATAAAACAATTTACATTTTGGGATCAAATATTTAATAAATTTAATGATAACTTAAAATTTTAAACCAACAAAAATAAATTTTTAATTCAAATTCAATTGTTGTATTGCAAGATTGTCGCATTATAAATAGAACTAATGATATTTAGAGTAAAAATCATAAAATTTAACTCATTTCAACAAATTCGATTTTAAAATTCAAATAATATATATTGATGAAAAATTTATCGAAATCAACTCGTAAGACTGATCCAACAACTTATTAATATCTATTTTAAATATATAAAAAGAAATATATTTTACTTTTCAATCAAGATATTAGTTAAAAACGAAGATAATTTTTTTCATAAAGATGTTATTGGATCGGTTTTTACGTATTAAAATTATTATTATTTAGTTTTGGGTTATTTTATCTTCTTGTTTTTTTTTTTTTTGGTCCTCTTCTTCATAGCCATTTACCATACTACCAGGTCTTTAAAGACTGCATTAAGGACATAAAACGTGGTAGGTCGGCAGCTCATCTTTGCAGGCCAAAGCCTTGATATTGCTACTTTTTATAAAGGGTGGGCCCTATCCTTTATGGGAATGGAGGGCAGTAGATTATCAGTAAATTATAAATTAATTTCTCTAGTTTTAAAAATTAATTTTTAAATTTACTTATAATTTAGGTTTTTATTCTTTTTAATTTATTTTGATTTCTTGTTTTAAAAAATAAAAAGATTATAAATTATAAAAAGATTGATAAAAAATATCATATAAAAAAATAATATTAAATTAAATATTATTAGTACTGATGAAAAATTAAATAATAATTTTAAAACGATATAAACTAATTAATTTATTTCTTAAAACTAGAGGTACTAGTTTATAATTTACTCTAGATTCAACCTATTAGATTAGTAAATTCCAGAAGTCTCTCTCTCTCTCGGAATAAATTCCTTGAGTGTTTGTTCAGAAGAGTAAATTATAAATTAGTTCTTTTTGAGAAATAAATTTATCGATCCCTCTCATTTCAAAAACTAATCATTTAATTCTTATATTTTGAAATCTATCAGTAATTTAGTTGTTTTGCTCCTTTTTAATATGTTTTGATTTTTTTCAAGAAATAGAAAAAAATATAAAAATATAAATAGAAAAATAAGAGATTTTGTAGAATAAAAATAATATTAAATTAAGTATGTTCAATACTAATTAAAGAATTAAATAATATTTTTTAAAACAAGAGGGACTAATTATTATTATTATTATTTTTTTGAAATTTACTCTTCTTTAGAATGAATTCCTTTTTTTTTTTTTTTTTTTTTTTGAGGGGGGGGGGTTTGGAATGCAAAGTAGCATAAACAATTATTAATAAATTCCACAAGTCTTTGTCTAGAATAATTTTTTATTTGAGAAAAAGATTGGTACAAACCAATGAGTATGCCAAAATTCACAGATTTAGTGGATCACGAAACACGTGCAGGCACGGCAGCAAAATCCCATACCTTTACCAAGAAATTACCTATAAACAATTTAAAAAAACATTTATACTTCCAGCTGATGAAATTTATTTACTTAATCAAATTAAGGGTAACTAATAGTGGAATCTTTCTTGGGTACTTCCTCTAATGAAGGGTTTTTTTTTTCATTCAAAAATAAAAATATTCTCAAACAATTTAAAAAACATACTCTCAACATTAATATGATACATTTTAAAAAATTTAGTATTTTTTAATATAAAAGATGATGCTTGTCATTCTTGTGATAAACATACCAAGCAGGTGGGATCTATATTTTCGATTAATAGACATATTAAATAAGAAAATCAAAATTTTAACAATTCTCGATTTTTTTCCTCATCCAGAAAGGGGTTTAATTGTCATTTCTCTAACAGAATAAACTCTTCTTGAGATATGTTGGATCATATATATATAATGCCGCCACGCCGTGGTCCTTTCTCCTTTTTCATACCCCGTTAAAAAATAATATAAATTATTCTTAAAATCTTATATAATAATTTAAAATTGTTATTTAATATAGTATCGAGTTTTAATCTTACTATTTGTGGATGAAGAAATGGCCTAGTGAATGGTGATGATAGACATCTTCCAATTTCAGCGGGTAAGTGTGTGGTGGGTCCAAACCAAGCAACCAAAATTGTATTTTGGTCCTCTTAGTATCATGTAAATCAACATTTATACCTTTACTTGTTTTGTTTTGTTTTTTTCTTTTTTTCGAGGAACGGAAACAAGCTAGAGATAGAAGAAGGCTAAATTATAAATTAGTTTTTCTAGTTTTTCAAAACGAATTAATTAGTATTTCTTTTTTTTAAAATTAATTTTTTTATTTTTAATCAGTATTAATCATGATTAATTTAATATTATTTTATTTTAGAAAATGGTTTTTTTTCCTCATTAATCTTTATGTATTTTTTACTTGTTTTTTTCTATTTTTTTATTTATTAAAATAAGAAAAAAATTAAAAATATTAAGTTATAAATAGATTTTAAAATATAAAAACTAATTAATTAGTTATTAAAACTAAAAGGAATATTTAAATTATTATTTTATTTGAAGAACTAGAGGGACTAATTTATAATTTAGTCTATAGAAGAATGGAACAAGGGTGAGAATTACAATTACAATAAAACTAAACTAAAATCATTGGTTATTATTCATTGCGCTATTTGAAACACTATTCATTCGGACTTAAATGCATTATTCCTTTTAGTATGCAGTTGCAATTTTTTAGTTTTCCGATATTTTTAAGACATTTATTATGAAAGTTTTTATGATATTTCACTTTGGTCTCTCTTTTTTAAATATTATTTTTTTGTCTCGTAAATACTTTTTATTTGATTTTGGTTACTTTGGTCCTTGTTTTTTTCTATGACTTTTTTAATAAAAAATTTTAAAGCAAAAAGATGTTTAGAAAAAAATAATTTACAAAATAAGGTTTTAGCTAAAAATATGGATAGAGACAAATAAATAATTTTTTTAATAAAAAAATTATGAAAATATAAAAAATAATTAGTCAAACACAAATTTTTGATTAAAAATAATAAAATTGAATGAATTTTTATTTAGTTTTGATTTGATATATTTTAATAGAAGTATAGAACAGACACGAGATATCAAAATAAAATAATTTTAAAAAAATAATTTTATGTATGCGCCGTGGATAAAAAAACTAGTGTAGTTCTAAATAACAATTGTTATGTCACTTAACAATCGTTATCTAACGGATAATGGCATGCTTGTTATTGTTATATTTCATTATAGAAAGCACAATAGTATTTTATATAAATAACATATCATACGTCGTTATCGTTATATAACATCATTATTGTTTTTATTTGGTGAATAGCGATCATTATATTAAATAAATATATGATACTTTGTATTTTATTATTATTTGTGTGATATTAAACTATTAAAAGTATTTTTTTTAATAAATTCAAATATTATTGATAATATTAAACTATTAGAAATGTTATTATTATGCTTAATCAATAAAAATATTAAAATTATATGAATTAAAATAAATTTATTAACAACTACTAATATGCTAATGCATTAACGACATCAATTGTTGTGACTATTATTTTAGTACAAAACAAACTGCAATATGCTATCACAATCATTTTTATAGCTAGAAAAGCAATTTAAAACTATGGATGAGAATGATGCCGAAAAAAAAAAAGACATCAATTTTTTTATCTTTACTTTCCTAAAATACCTTTTCATGTTGCCAAATTTGAGTTTCAAAATTTCTAAAAAGATATGAGGATCATTTAACCTTTATAAAATCAAGGTTCCTTCTAAATTTAAGTTAAAAATTTAAGCAAACAAAAACTAGTGCTTATAGGACAACTTCCAATTCGTCTTGAATGTAATCCTGATATTTTACATCCTGTTATGGATTTTCTAAAAGTTTTTATGTTAAAAATATTTGTATGTATAACAGAAAAAGGTAAAGAATATTGATTTTCTAATTAGTAAAAAATAAGAAATAAAAAAAAATTTGACCAGGAGTCTCTTAAAAAAGTTAAATATTTAAAATTTTGACAGATAATTATTTTGGAACATATATAAACAGGAAGAAAAATAGTTTTTTTCGGAGACACCGAGAGTATCATCCAACAAAACCAGACACTGCCCAGATACACACCAGTGGGCTAATTTTGGCACAAACAGCAAAGAGGAACCAGACAAAAGAGAATTTTTACAGGTAGATCCTGATGAACAATAGCCTCTACTCTTTCTTGGCGTAGGTTCTGACAGCAAGAGCTAAGCCCAAGGTCAAGAGTGGTACGAGCAGCTGCAAGATCTTAATGGAAAATCCGGGCTTCCCAAAATCTCTAGAGTTTGTTCCTTCCAAGCCTGATGAACGTCGTTTCAACTTTGGAACGGTTTTTACATCTGCCTCACCAATGGCATACTTTTCCACCATT